ACTTGTGTTTTGTGAATGATTATAATGTTCTGGAGTGACTTTTCTTCTGGTATTTTGAGGAAATCACGAGTTGTCAGTTTAGCAGATGTCGTTCGATACCAGTAGGGCCTTATCAGATCCTAACGGATATACTTCATTAGTCATTGATACTTCTGCTAATGTCACCTCACACATAATGAACATGTCTAGCTATATCCGCTATGAATCTTCATTTCTTACATCAGGAACAGTTCAAATTATAGGCTTTCTTTAAAAACGAATTCCTAGGAGGTGAGAAATTAGACACAAGCTAAAACGTATGACAAAGACCAGCCACCTATCGTTATGATCCATCACTTATAAATTTTTTTATGAAATTCTAAAATTGAAAGAACGAACCTTTCAGAATAAGAGTAATTTAACGGTTTAGAAATTTCTGTTTAAACGACAAATGTCACTGATGCATAAACATAAAGTTTAAAAACATCGCTTTTACAATTGACATTTGAGACTATCAAAACGTCCATTCTGTAAATATAATGTACGATAAAAGTTGGAGATCTTTTAGATAAAAGGGTTGAGCGTAGTGACGCAGACTTTATTTTAGAGATACATTTTTACTTTTGGAGGATCTCTGTGAAAGATACTTTATCGTTTGAGAAATACGTGTATTAAGAAGTTGTAGAAGGTCTGTGTTACCTTCCTGATGCTAGGTATTGTGTATATTTATTTCTCCGCTGGATAACGAGGTGTTACACATATTTATATACCAGCAGTATCGTCGTTATGAGCTCTGTTTTTATGGGCTAATTCCAGGCCTTGTTAACGTTATACAGACTTGGCACATAGTCTATAAACAATCCGTATAATATTTTGTAATACACTAAGGTACTTCTTACTGCATTGACTCGCATTTTCTTCCTATAATTTAACAACAAATGTATTTGAAGATATTTAGTTTACAGTGTTACAGAACGTTTCCTTATCAATATCCTGCGTGATTTCAGTAACAATTCACATTTAAATGTACGAATGAGTGTTTAATACAAGTATGTTTGTTTTCAAATCTTTCGTAATTTTCGGCATACGTTTTCTTTAAAATCGTACAATTGATGCAAGAAACGTAACACATGACAAGACACATTGTTTTTGACAGTAAACAGAATGCCTGTTTTATTCTATAAAACAAAGCCGTGGTTTGTTTTGGTTCTGTATTGGAAGCTCCTGTATTAAACACTGGGCTAGAAACATTGCGTGTTGATCGGTATCATCTCCATCATGTCGAGTAGACTTGGTAGACATTAAAGTTCACATCAATCGTAATACTTATACATCTAGCAATATAAAGCAGTAGTCATGATGTATGGTAATTTGCATAATCGGTCACAAGGTAGTTCAGCGTACAAGTTACTTAATCTCTACCGCAGACTGCATCTGTTGTTTACAAGGCACTCAACCATATCAAAGTTAACACCGACTTAAAAGGTAAGTGTCAAAATACCTTACCACAAAGTCGCAAAGAAAAGAAATAGAAACTTTGATATTAAACAGTTGATGTCGTATTCAGAAACATATTTTTATTCATGTGGTATTTAGTTCGCAGTATAGCAGTAAGTTTCAGAAACAAATTTCCTCATTTTATCATCGCGCACCTGCTATCAAATAAATAATTACTCATTCACGGGTCTCATTAATTTCATCACCTATGTCATGACAGTTGTCGGCTTCTATTGAAGTCAATGACACAATGCATTCCTGAGGTATCATTAATAAGGAACAATAGTCGTGTGCTGCAATATTTACTGACAAAACACTGTAAGTGATACCAGATGTTGTGAAGTACAAACTGTAGTAGATGTTGGTCCATCTATTTCTGGTCTCATCAGCAGTCTCGATGGCGGCTTTTGTCACAAGAGACATTGCAATATCATTACCGACAGAATAATAAAATTGCTCTTTTTTATCATTAAAGAAGCATTCCTTCTATTCTTAGAGACGCGACTTAATCTTATTTACAATATCATCCAAAGAAGCGATTTCTAAACTTAGAGTCTGGCATATCCGCAGCACGTACACGATGGCCACGTGTATTACATGTTTGTATCAATGAGATCACAATTGTAAACACAACGAAGCACTAGCCAGATGAGCAAGGCTGAATCAGACCAATTAATACCAGGAACACACCCGAATTCGACCTCCTTTATACCGGAATGTCTCACCGTTTGTCATTTCAGACATTCTGTATAACAGCAGTAGCAGCAGCTACATTGAAAGAACACATATTTATAAAACCCCTTTTTTATTATTTGTTATTTGTTCTTTTAAAGTACGTTTAAAAGGAACAAAAACAAGAATTAAAAGTTTTTTATCAATGATTTGACTAATATGAATTATGCTTGTCATTTCATCTGGCCCGTATCCAACATAAAGAAAGATCTAGATAGTTCATTCGTCAGAGGTTTAATATGAGCTGTGACAAGAAAGTCATTAACTACTAAGCAAGGTTACGTCATAAGTGACTGTTCTGATAAGCATTGGAGCAGGAATGTCAAAAACCCCAACTGGAGAAATCCCTAAAGTCACAGTTTTAACGCGAAAGATGTGACAGGAAATGGCTGGGCCAATGATTCCATGTTCAGATACAGGTGGAAACGGAATCTTATTTCTTTCTTAGATACATGTAACCGGACCATGACTTCACACTCAGATACAGATGGACCTGCCTATGACTTCCAGCTTAGATAACCGGACCATGACTTCACACTCAGATACAGATGACTTCACACTCAGATAACCGGACCATACACACTCAATAGACCTTCCTGTGACTTCCAGCTTAGATACATGTAACCGGACCATGTAACCGGACCATGACTTCACACTCAGATACAAATAGACCTTCCTGTGACTTCCAGCTTAGATACATGTAACCGGACCATGACTTCACACTCAGATACAGATAGACCTTCCTGTGACTTCCAGCTTAGATACATGTAACCGGACCATGACTTCACACTCAGATACAAATAGACCTTCCTGTGACTTCCAGCTTAGATACATGTAACCGGACCCATGACTTCACACTCAGATACAAATAGACCTTCCTGTGACTTCCAGCTTAAATACATGTAACCGGACCATGATTTCACACTGACTTCACACTCAGATACAAATACACTCAGACCTTCCTGTGACTTCCAGCTTAGATACATGTAACCGGACCATGATTTCACACTCAGATACAAATAGACCTTCCTGTGACTTCCAGCTTAGATACATGTAACCGGACCATGACTTCACACTCAGATACAGATAGACCTTCCTGTGACTTCCAGCTTAGATACATGTAACCGGACCATGACTTCACACTCAGATACAGATGGACCTGCCTATGATTTCCAGCTTAGATAACCGGACCATGACTTCACACTCAGATACAGATAGACCTTCCTGTGACTTCCAGCTTAGATACATGTAACCGGACCATGACTTCACACTCAGATACAAATAGACCTTCCTGTGACTTCCAGCTTAGATACATGTAACCGGACCATGACTTCACACTCAGATACAGATAGACCTTCCTGTGACTTCCAGCTTAGATAACCGGACCCATGACTTCACACTCAGATACAGATAGACCTGCCTATGATTTCCAGCTTAGATAACCGGACTCATGACTTCACACTCAGATACAGATAGACCTTCCTGTGACTTCCAGCTTAGATAACCGGACTCATGACTTCACACTCAGATACAGATAGACCTTCCTGTGACTTCCAGCTTAGATAACCGGACTCATGACTTCACACTCAGATACAAATAGACCTGCCTATGATTTCCAGCTTAGATAACCGGACCCATGACTTCACACTCAGATACAGATAGACCTTCCTGTGACTTCCAGCTTAGATAACCGGACTCATGACTTCACACTCAGATACAAATAGACCAGTCTATGATTTCTTGTTTAGTGTCTGTAAACTGATCAATCGATTACTGTTCAGATACTGCTGAACTAATGGTAATTCTCTGTTGAAATCCAGTACCTAAGACAGTTTATTGAATTGCCATGTCTATCGTGGTTTAACATTGCATTGCTTGATTTACATTACGAAACGCCTGCTGCATCCTTAGACTCATGTCAGCTGACCATTTTTGTTTAACGTTGATATTAATAGAAACAGACAAGCAACGCATACCAGAACAGGCACCTGCAATATAATATTACGCAATGGCAATGCTTATTACGGGCGACACACCGGAACTAGGATATCCTTCTCGTAATCAGACTTTTGGAAATAATCCAAACCAAAATCAAGATAGGGAAAGATGTTGAAATAAAAGTCACTACCACGCAAATTACCAAGAGAAAAATTCCATTGAAGTGAACCGTCTTTTTGTATCGGCGACTTTGAAGTTGGAACATTGTTTAGGTGATGAATCAGACCGACCGACTGACATCCTAACCTAATGGCGGTTTAAGATATGTTCATATTCCCCAACACTGACGAAGTCAGTCTTATCACAAGAGGGAGTGATGCTGAAACCTTGATAATACAGACGCATGCTTGACATTATATATAATACATCATTGTGTCTGTGGAGATAAATGTGTTCTTTCATAGGTTTGGAGCTACAATCCTTACAACTTCACTCATGTTCATGCAATACTTGTAGTTTATATTAAAGGAATGTTGCGATGTTTTTTCTATCAGACCACTTAAAACATATGCAGTATCTGGTTCCGTACACAAACTTAACTGTTCTTACTTCTCGGAAAAGGAATTAGTCAGAGAGACTCCTGTAATACCGTACTTGTCCATTCACTGAAATAAGGTCTTCGGCTTTTGACAATTCTCTAGATACTTGTATAGCATTAATAGTATTTTTCTATCTGTGTCATCTCATCATGGGTTTTTTTCTGAATGTACTGGTTTTTGAAGTGTAACGACAAAGACATTCAACACGAACCCTGCCTTTGCTCTGTATATTGGAGTACATAAAGGTCAATAGCAATGCAGTTCTCCTTCCAGAAGGTACATGTAGCAGTAGTGATATAACAAAGTTTATGTGACCAAGCTATGGTAAGAGGTCCACAAGTTCTACTCAGTTGTAAAATTGATTTACCCTTTCATTCTTATACCAGTATATCAAAGTTGACTTCACCTTAAAACCATTCTGTACAAAGAAGTGTTAGTATATCACTATACTATAACGATGTTAGGTATAGTCTTAAACACCTTCATCCTGCAATTCTGAAAATAAAGAGGACTAATTCATATCTTATTTCATTCGTCCTGCAGGAGGTTTATATGTAGTTGTGTTTAGATAATTTCTAATATATTTCCCCCACATCCTTTAGATATTGCGTTTCAAGTTTTTCAATCATAAACATGAAAATCAATACATAGCAAGACCATTTTATGTTGGTATACATTCCGATTAGTTGCATCTGAATCCAGAATCAAGTACCTAATCTACTGTTGCATAGAATGAATATATATGACATTATAACAGTCAGATTGTCAGTGGAAATATCATTACAATATTTTTAGCTAAATACAAGTGAAATAAAGATAGCGGAATACCATTATGATATTCTCCATACAACTGGGTCAAAGATAGCAGAATACCATTATAGTAGTCTCCATACAACTGGGTCAAAGATAGCAGAATACCATTATAGTAGTCTCCATACAACTGGGTCAAAGATAGCAGAATACCATTATAGTAGTCTCCATACAACTGGGTCAAAGATAGCAGAATACCATTATAGTAGTCTCCATACAACTGGGTCAAAGATAGCAGAACACCATTATAGTAGTCTCCATACAACTGGGTCAAAGATAGCAGAACACCATTATAGTAGTCTCCATACAACTGGGTCAAAGATAGCAGAACACCATTATAGTAGTCTCCATACAACTGGGTCAAAGATAGCAGAACACCATTATAGTAGTCTCCATACAACTGGGTCAAAGATAGCAGAATACCATTATAGTAGTCTCCATACAACTGGGTCAAAGATAGCAGAATACCATTATAGTAGTCTCCATACAACTGGGTCAAAGATAGCAGAACACCATTATAGTAGTCTCCATACAACTGGGTCAAAGATAGCAGAACACCATTATAGTAGTCTCCATACAACTGGGTCAAAGATAGCAGAACACCATTATAGTAGTCTCCATACAACTGGGTCAAAGATAGCAGAACACCATTATAGTAGTCTCCATACAACTGGGTCAAAGATAGCAGAACACCATTATAGTAGTCTCCATACAACTGGGTCAAAGATAGCAGAATACCATTATAGTAGTCTCCATACAACTGGGTCAAAGATAGCAGAATACCATTATAGTAGTCTCCATACAACTGGGTCAAAGATAGCAGAATACCATTATAGTAGTCTCCATACAACTGGGTCAAAGATAGCAGAACACCATTATAGTAGTCTCCATACAACTGGGTCAAAGATAGCAGAATACCATTATAGTAGTCTCCATACAACTGGGTCAAAGATAGCAGAATACCATTATAGTAGTCTCCATACAACTGGGTCAAAGATAGCAGAATACCATTATAGTAGTCTCCATACAACTGGGTCAAAGATAGCAGAATACCATTATAGTAGTCTCCATACAACTGGGTCAAAGATAGCAGAATACCATTATAGTAGTCTCCATACAACTGGGTCAAAGATAGCAGAATACCATTATAGTAGTCTCCATACAACTGGGTCAAAGATAGCAGAACACCATTATAGTAGTCTCCATACAACTGGGTCAAAGATAGCAGAACACCATTATAGTAGTCTCCATACAACTGGGTCAAAGATAGCAGAACACCATTATAGTAGTCTCCATACAACTGGGTCAAAGATAGCAGAATACCATTATAGTAGTCTCAATTTACGAGAAAAATTGACAGCGAAATATCACTATAACAAACCCCTGTACAAGATGAAAACCGATATTGGAGTATTATTATAACAGTCCCTGTACATGTGGAGAACCGATATTACCATTTTAGCAACCTCAACAAGATGGAACCTGCTATTGTAACAGACTCCGTATAATTGAAATCATTTAGAGGAGTACAGCGGATGTGTAGAAAGACTGCAGAGGATTATAAGTATAATTAGCAAAATGTGTGAACAATTTTCAGAGTCAAAATCATGGAAAAGGAAACAGAGTTCGTCCTAAAATGTGGCTTTGCTATTCGTCAACGTTCAATATCTCATGAGGGTGTTGCAACTGAAATTTGAACCAGCAACATTAATTATCAAATCCGGAAACATTATAAAGCCAAAAAGTGGGTGGCGATTTACTGTTGTCAACCTTGTTGATGATACCATTGCGTACAACATGCATTTCTGTGGGTATAACACATGCATTTCCTTGTCTGTGGGTAGGACTAGGCACGGTCGGTAGCTAACGCGTACATACTCGTGGGTGCACATGTTATTTTTCTGTCATGTGGTCTCCGGGATGAAGCCAGTTTCAGGTTTCTGAAGCAAAAGGCGGTTAGTGTTATATCGTCACACGATAGAGGACGTACACAAGGTGTGCTACAAAAGCTCACAACGACCAGCAGCTATTTGTGATAAATGTGTAAGATAACACTGTCCTCGTGCACAATCATCTTCGTGACGTCACGAAGAGGTCAAGATATATTGTTTATGTCTTCCACTTCAAGCCGCCTCATTCATGTATTTACCTAGCTTAATTAGCAGCGAATGAAACATGACATGACAAGGTATGCGTGTTTTTTATTTAATGCTTTGTATGAATGTTAATCACAAACACCATCAGCGTAACATATCGCTGCTTCCTTCTGCTAAGTGACAATGTATTACGTGTATGTCACTTGTTCGTCGGTAATATACAAAAATAAATTACACAATATATCAACCGTCTTTTTAGTTGTATATCAGCTTACAAAAACCCTACCATTGTCTTCTCTAGAAAAGTATTTTTATGATATGGAAATGAAAGGCCATGCTGAAATAGATTGTATATTCTTGTATTAGTATATTTTATCTTTAAAATAACATGTTAAGATAAAATTTTGGGAGTTGACGATCTGTGTTGTTGGATATTTACCGTGCTGACGTTTTTGTACCTGTGTGTGTACTTTTGTGACAGCTTGGCAGGTGTGATGGGCTCTGTATTTAAATAATATTCTACCTGTTTAACAGATATTTATTTCAATTTGTGTATTTGTGTCATTGTCACTTATCAGCTAAGTGAGTCAATGGTACTGGATAGGAAATACCTGTAACATACCTGTATCATTGAAAATTATAAGTTTACTGAGGTAACGTACCACAGACCGCACATGGTCGCCCGGTTCACTGCAATGCTACCCAAATAGCTGTTGAAAAATCTCCCGACTCATGCGGTTTTTATTTTTATAATTCTGTGGTCAGTAGCAATGAATGGTATGGTATTTCTTTGTATATCAACATTTAACATCCTTAAACAAAGTCGTCTTCTTTTAAATCATTCTTGAATTCGCACTTAAGGCAATGACGATATATAAGATTATATATTTGTCTGTAATTAGAAAGAATTCATGTGATTTTGTTACATGGATGTAATTCTAAAGCTTGGGTCACATAGTGAAGGTGGTATTTAAATACTCGGGTACGTTATAATGAGTACAGGGGGGTTTCTCCTGGTTTAAAGGTCACTGAAATGGTACTAGTGCCATTCATAACGTACGTATTACTCATCCACTGACTAAAAATAGAATACATAAAATGACATAAGCAGAAAAAACAAATAACTATCAATACACATAACGAAAGTCCACACAGATCGATGACCATAGACGATTAAAGTCATTTTATTCTATTGTTTTCCTCTGGTTTTTCCTTATTATCACTTCATTATTTTTTTTATAACATTAGTCTGTTAAGTGTCTTTACCATATTTTTGAACGATATTTTACTGTTCTCTTGGTGTTTTCCGTGATAAGATTTCTATTACATCCTATTGTTTTCCGTGTTTACTAGATTGATGACTCTAACCTATTGTTTTCTGTGTTTACTAGATTGAAAACTCTATTTATTGTTATCCGTGTTTACTAGATTGAAAACTCTACCTATTGTTTCCGTGTTTACTAGATTGAAAACTCTATCTATTGTTTTCCGTGTTTACTAGATTGATGACTCTAACCTATTGTTTTCTGTGTTTACTAGATTGAAAACTCTACCTATTGTTTTCCGTGTTTACTAGATTGATGACTCTAACCTATTGTTTTCTGTGTTTACTAGATTGAAAACTCTATTTATTGTTATCCGTGTTTACTAGATTGAAAACTCTACCTATTGTTTCCGTGTTTACTAGATTGAAAACTCTATCTATTGTTTTCCGTGTTTACTAGATTGATGACTCTAACCTATTGTTTTCTGTGTTTACTAGATTGAAAACTCTACCTATTGTTTCCGTGTTTACTAGATTGAAAACTCTACCTATTGTTTTCCGTGTTTACTAGATTGATGACTCTAACCTATTGTTTTCTGTGTTTACTAGATTGAAAACTCTACCTATTGTTTTCCGTGTTTACTAGATTGAAAACTCTATCTATTGTTATCCGTGTTTACAAGATTGAAAACTCTATCTATTGTTATCCGTGTTTACAAGATTGAAAACTCTATCTTTTGTTATCCGTGTTTACAAGATTGAAAACTCTATCTATTGTTATCCGTGTTTACTAGATTGAAAACTCTATCTTTTGTTATCCGTGTTTACTAGATTGAAAACTCTATCTATTGTTATCCGTGTTTACAAGATTGAAAACTCTAATTGTTACTCTTGAAAACTCTATCTTTTGTTATCCGTGTTTACAAGATTGAAAACTCTATCTATTGTTATCCGTGTTTACTAGATTGAAAACTCTACTTATTGTTTTCCGTGTTTACTAGATTGAAAACTCTACCTATTGTTTTCCGTGTTTACAAGATTGAAAACTCTATTTATTGTTATCCGTGTTTACAAGATTGAAAACTCTATTTATTGTTATCCGTGATTACTAGATTGAAAACTCTATCTATTGTTATCCGTGTTTACAAGATTGAAAACTCTATTTATTGTTATCCGTGATTACTAGATTGATGACTCTATCTATTGTTTCCGTGATTACTAGATTGAAAACTCTATCTATTGTTGTCCGTGTTTACTAGATTGATGACTCTATCTATTGTTATCCGTGATTACTAGATTGATGACTCTAACCTATTGTTTCCGTGATTACTAGATTGATGACTCTAACCTATTGTTGTCCGTAGATTTTTATATTTCGTTCTATTGTTTTCCCTGTTTATCAATTTTCTATTTCTCTGAGACAGGTTTTTATCAAATCTGTCGTTTGTTCATCTGATCCAGTTTCTTTATAACTATGGTCTTCAAGTGTTGGATGCTTATACCTGAGGCGTTGTTTTAAGTATGTCAAATATCCAATGTTGAATACCTCCTGTGAACACAACACACACGCACCCACACGCACACACACACGCATACGCACGCACACACGCGCGCGCGCACACACACATTCATATATATATATATATATATATATATATATATACGTTATGTGTATTATACAGTAAATATGTTTTGTCTTATGCTGTTTTCATTGAAGTAGTATTTAGACACCTATTCAGGCATTTCAAATTATGTCTAATAACATAGTTAAAATGAAAATGCACATTTTACTCTATAATATAAATAATTTTTGTGAAAGTTATAAATTCATATAGTGGAACATTATTGAATTCCTGCTGTTGATATAACCGAATATCCAATCCTATGTATAAAAACACGTGTCAAGTTCGTATGTTTGGGTGTGGGAATGTTTTCCACATTAATGAATGAAATCTGAATGATAACAAACTGTTTCCTGGGCGCATGATTCTATACGCACCATACATATTTAACAATCGACTTCCATATATGGCAAACGTACTACGTTAAGAGAGGGCAGGTACTCTCGTGAAATAAACCAATAGAATCACGTCTGTGTACCTTGTCCGTACGTAAAAAGTGTTTTGGCACTGGTATATATGTAGCCCTGAACCCACTGGCAGTCAGTCAAGCAGAAGACATCTACACACCAGAAACAAGCGGACGATGAAGTATAACATGGCCAGGATCGTTATCAACCTAACATTTCTTCTCTGCTTTGTAAGTACAGCTTTCAATACTCAGTGTCATTTGATAAAATTAGTTGTCAAAAGCGGCAATGTCAAGTGTTCTCTGTTAAGTGTGTCATCACAGTGATGTTACAGGTAGCCTAGACTGTTCGCCGTATTCAGCATAACATAGCTCCGCTTTTAGCACATAACATAATACAGGTAGATGTTTTCTTGTTTTTGCTCGTGTTGATAATGGTTGGGTCTCACTTCTAGTAAAAAAAACCCCATATAATTGAACTTAAAAAGTACGATACGTCTTTACATTGAAAACGAAAATACACATTGTATATTGAGTAGCAAAGCGGGAGTATCAATTTGACTTTAAATTTCACAACTGCATAAAACAATGACTCTGGGAATAACATCAATTGTCTGTAACATTTACAATGTTCGACAGAGCTCGGAGCAGTAGTTATATATGAATACCATGACTACATAATGACTTTAGAGCTAGAAACAGTATTTCAATTTCAAAATAATGACTGTGGAGTTTGAAAGAGTGATTCTTGGTAAAAGAATGACGAAAAAATTGATGTGGTATGTTTGTGAATATTACCATTGTGGAATTTGAAGCAGTATATTTGATGTGAATATTATGACTGTACAGTTTGAAGCAGTGTTCCAATATGAAAACTATGACTGTTTGATGTGAAGTTCTTCAGCAGTACTTCTACGAAAACAGTCCAAACGTAATATAAAGCAATTTCTGGATTTAAAGATAAAGTCTGTAGTATCATGTCCGTGTTAACTTTACTGATATAGAATGGGAAGCGCTAATGCAATACAAAGTGATCACCATAGTACAGTTCAATGTGAACAAATAATACCGAATCAAAGTAATGACCCACCGGTGATGTAAAGTATATGGTGTTTTCAGCTTATCTTACCTAGCTGTAGGTATCATCTTAATGATAATCGCATACAGTGACATTGTGATTCCGTTATATAAAACTAATTCTCATATCGTTTACATGTTTCAAACCTAACTGTATTTCTTACCAGGGCTTATTAACCTTGAGTAAAAAAAAATAGAGTTCAGGTAATATGAACCTACATGCTGATAACGCATTGCGCGTCACATTAGACAGGAGTAGGACAGACTTACAGTCTTTATCAGCGATAATATGACTTTCACAGCTGTAAACTTTGAGTGTCAACAGCGAAATACACTGAAGTGGCAAACTGCCTGTGTTCTTCAATGTGCAAACATACAGGGTTATAAGTACAGAATAAATAATTATATATTAGATTTTATGGGTTTCAAACAAATTTTTATTGTCAATAAATCGTTAGAACGCGACAATAGCTACCAGGCATGTTTGTCTGTCGAACAGATACTAACTGTTTTATGGCTATTGCTCAATATATATACGTGTATTTATTAGCATTGAGAGCTAGCTCCTCCAGCAACGCAAACAGGATGTGTTTTATACTCACACTCGTTATGATGCAAACACTGTAATACAGACAAGTGTTAACACAACAAATGAGATACAGAATATTAATATATTTTGTAAATTAAAATTTTAAATGGAAATGATAAAACCCCTCCACGAATTAAACGCATTCCACAAGGCAAACGGGAGAACAACAGTTCAGCTTACAGGCGAACCAAGCCCACTTGATACCTGCTGTGTGTTATTATTGATTGAGATTAATATTTCATAGTAAAACAAATATTACCGCTTTAAAATGATAAAAATATGTTTAAGATTGGCAACTTTATCTATTTCATAAAACAAGATGTAGTATAAAGGGAAGTGTCTCCGGGGTGGCTATATATTACAAGGTGTCTAAGTATATGTAATATTAACCGGTTTGACCATATAATAATTACAAGATATTGTAGTGTGCTCTTTATGATTTATGTCTTATTATTTTCTTTCCGTTTCTCTTTCACAGATTGGTTTACCTCGCTTCACAAAAGGTAAGTGATATTCTCACCTGTTACCTATTAACAGATCGTACCTGAAGAAAAGGTCACTCTATAAATAGCATATATACATACACCATGAAATATTAATGAAAATATCCAGAAATCCTTTTTCCAAAAATATGTTTTAAATTCTCACAGCATGTACGCGGTACAGAAATGAGAAACTGGGTGAAATTTTATACTAGAGTCTTTGGTGTGGGTTTTCTTTTTACCTGAATCGGAATTCACGGGACAACGTGATTAAGTCACACATTGCCATATCGTCATGGCGATTTGTAATCATGAATATAACACTTAAACGCTTCATAAACAGGCTTAAATCTTTAAAGAACCAGACCGTAATCGATATTTATGAAATTTCGTTTGATGTTTTCGTAGTGAGACTTAAACCCGATTATGTCCTTCCTTTATATACGTAGTCTTCATCATAACACGTAAATCCTATAACACATGTATTTGTTAACAAAATATTGGAATTCTTGGGTTTGACTTTTGTTCTTTGAGATACTTCATATCGTGATACATGGTGTCTGGGAATTCCATTTGATTAAAACTATCAATGGTTTGATCTTTATCGTGTTTGAAACTTTCAAATGTAAACGTTTTTGTTCAAATGCCTATATGAGATATTTATGTTATTTTTAGTTTGTGTTTGAGTGAATGTTTTATTAGAATGAATAAGCCTATTTTGTTGAGAAGCCAGATATTTTAATAACTGTCAAAGATTAATCCATAACTAGTTTACGGCCCTTTAAAAACAACGTATTTCTCTAAAGAAAATAAAAACGAGCTGGAAGCAATTAACAGCTATCTTTCTTCCTTACAGGTGCCAACTGTTTTGAGAAGGTAGCAGACATAGTTTTTCTGCTAGACTCGTCCAGTAGCATAAGGGAGGAACAATTTCAGGATCAACTAAACTTTGTACAAAATGTAGCCGACAACTTTAAGATAGGCAACAACAACATACAAGTTGGAGCTATAACATTTAGCGACAAGGCCAAACTCAACTTCCACCTCAACACTCATCAGAATAAATCGGAACTGAAGAGTGCCATTTGGAGGATACCGTACGTCGGAGGGGGCACAGATACGGCGAAGGCAATAGCTTACGCTCGGGAAGAAATGTTTAAACCGGATAATGGTGGACGCGCATGGGCAGCAAAAATATTGGTGCTGATAACGGATGGATTCTTGAACAGAGGTCTTTATGTGGATGCCCAAGAGGAGGCTTACTTTGCTAAATACATGAACATTACCGTGATGGCGATCGGTGTCGGCAGCGGCGTGCAGGACATGGACCTGGAGGGGCTAGCAAGTACCCCGCGGGAAAAATACGTGTTCCGGGTGGATGACTACCAGGCCCTCAGTACACTGAAGAACGAACTGTCTATCAAAACATGTCAAGGTGATTAACCATAATTTACCTTTGTCTTATGTGTTAATGTGACATCATCGTAGGTCTTAGTAGTCTCCCTTTCTGTCTCTAATGAATTATCCTATGTTTGGCTGTAGATTCTACTGTTGAACACTGATTTCATGAAATAGAGGGAGCCAATTCAACCGCTAGGTCACTATTCTGTCAGTACAATACACATTCAACCCCCTACTACATCCATGAACACATCTGCTGGGATGTCACCCTCTGATGGATGGATGTGTGGTTACAACATGATATGCGAGCAGCAATATCATGTATAGAACATATGACGTAATATAGAGATAGTGCAATGTTAAAACCATTTGTTTTACCTCCAGATGCACCCCAGAATGACCAAATTTCCGAAGAAAATCTAGAGCCTGAGGAAAAACCAAAAATGTGTAAGTGTCATTTATATCGATCTGACATTAGGTATATTGTATCCAAGGTTTACATCACATTTTCCGTTAAATCGTTAAATACGAAACGAAAGTTCATATATAAGTGATAACACATCATCTTTTTTAACAACTTGTTGAATCATCGCATCCTTGAACGATTTAATGTCCTTTTAAAAATAAAAATACACCGATTTCATTGAAATGATACTCGACTTTCTGAAATAATGTAAAGAGAAATTTGTTTAAAGTTGATATTACTATAGATTAGCTTTGAATTATTCCTGTCAATAGAATTAGTCATTTCTGATACACAAAATTCACAAAAGTGTGGTTTGTAAAGCAAATGACATCAGATATCGACACCGTGATAACCTTACTATTTCGTCACGTATAAATGGCAGTATTTCCTAAAAACTTAAAAGATTTTTAAAAAATCGTTTCATAACAAAACAATAAAAAACAGTGACGCGATATTGAATTTTTCCACTTTTTTGTTATCTTTGTCAGATATTCGTGATAGATCGTTATAAGAAAATGGCGTTTAACAAGAGGATTTCATGTTGTCTATTTAATTTAAGAAATATTTTATATAGAAAAAAAGCAGTCGATTTTCATTTTCTTACATACCTTTTTTTATCCTTTCAGTGTGTGGCGGTAAGCCAGCTGATTTATATTTCGTGTTGGATTCCTCTAACAGCATTCACATTAGTGATTTTGATCGACAGCTGAGGTTCGTCAGTGAAGTTGTGGATATCTTTGACATATCTCCTTCCCATACCAGAGTAGGGGTAACTTTATACAGTGATGGAATCCACCCTGTCATCCCAATCAACAACGACTTTGATAAAGAACAACTCAAACATCGCGTCAGCAACTTAAGGCGTTTGACTGGAAACACAAATACAGCCGCTGTTCTCAAATATATGAGAGAATATGGGTTCCGGGAGGATATAGCAAGGTCGGAAGTAGCTCACATTGTCGTTCTCTTGACAGACGGGAAGTCTACAAACACTATCAAGACAGAAATAGAAGCGAAACTGGCGCATTCAGCGGGGATATATGTATTTGCTGTCGGTATTGGGGACATGGCGTCCATTCCAGAGCTGATGGCAATCGCAAGCGATCCTGACGAGAACTTCCTTTTCAAGGTCAACAATTACAATGCCCTACGCCATCTGAAAAACATACTTGCTATCAAAGCTTGTAAAGGTAAGGCCAGATTTACATGTAACTATACTTGTTCATCTTTAAGTACAACTGTACATAAAACATTAACGTTATTTGAATGATGTACTGAACATTATATATTTACATAAATATATAGTGCATTCCAATCATTGAGATAAAAACAATTATTGCTTAATCTTGTTTATCGAACACTTTATCTTAATTTGCAGTTGAAGTTACACCAAATGATGAGCCTGTCCTGAATGACTTTGGTAAGTACATTTGATCTCTCAAATATTAAGACATTCTTAAGGACTTTTTTTTTTAAATGAGCAAGTAACTTATGCGCAATCAAAATAAATCTAGTAGCGTGATATTGGGTCAATTTATGGCGGCAAACATCTGTTTCACTAACGTTAAAACGATAGGTTAATGTGTGAGCATCATTCACAGCAGTCCTTGAAAACCTTTGAAAACGTTTAAGAGAACCAGTCTTAGTATAAATATCCACAGGTAACTGAATCAATAACACATGCTATATATGTATCAGCGACTTTAGCGACTTTCTAGAACCTAATATCCATACATATGTTTAACTGATTTTTCATTTCTTTCAGCTTGTGGCGTTTATGGACCGCGCGATATTATGTTTGTTTACGATGAGGTTAACCTTGGTTTGGAAAAGTCAACCATTCTTCGGAAGGCCATAGGTAAAATAGCAAAGAATATGGGTCTAGAAAGCAGACATGACCAGCGAGTAGGAGTCATGTCGGAAATATATGCGCATGGCTCTGATGCAAGACTGACAGAAATTCGGGACCAAACGTCTTTCGAGGAAAGATTGAGTGCCGCAAATGACGGAAAGCTCAGAGGTCTGCTGAGGAAATTGCGCCATCATGCTTTTCTACCGGTCAATGGTGGTCGGTCGAATGCAGAACATGTAGCTGTCATATTCTTGGACAAAAGTGCACAAATAACACCTCGAGTCATTCGCGAAGCGAAGAGAACATCGTTTAAAATTACAGTGTATGTGGTTGTTGTTGGAAGCGAGGAATCGGTGCCGGACGCAAATCTGATATCTAGTTCGCCAGCCGATCAGTTTCTCATGCACGTACCTACATACAATGATATATTGCTGTCAACGACATCCATCGCTAAAAAGCTATGTGACGCGTGAGATGTGAGCGATTTGTTTCATTGGTGCTAAAACTAATAACTATTCTATTCTACCGATACACAAACTCACCCCTATTATGTACCATACAGTCTTTCAAAGGCTCATATCGAAATGACTTCATTTGTTACACACCGTTTTCTTATCAGGGGACGACATTCATCACAGTTAATAGTTTCAAATGTAGGACAACAGTGTTGAGAAAATTCATGTATTTCAGTTTGCTTTCAATGTATCAGATACAAAAAAAAGCTTATTTAAAATGTCTATATTTATATATATCATTGGTAAGTCCAAGCTTGTTGTTTCAAGGATGATTTCGCGTCACTCATTTTCTCATTTGTTTAATTCTTTTAAATTTTAAACAAAATATCATCGCTCTCAAACATACCTGATAGCAGTATTATTAAGCATTGAATGTTTTGAACATTCCAATCCATTTGGATTACATCTGTGATAATTTGTTTTCAGATCATATGTTAATTTATTTGAGAAGAATCTCTATGTAAGTCAGTGTATATAAGATTAGTGTCTCAATATAGCAGTATATATTTAATTGTCTCATGTAGGAATTTGGTTGGTGAAAGAGTCATATATCTGTATTTATTATTACATGCCGTTTAAGCTCGACTGATTGTATTACCTGAATGTAACTTGGATAACAGCAGTTTCTAAGATATCTTAATGAGCAAACAACCGATACGAACATTTAACTTCGTGGAATGGTAACAATTCAATCTTCTAGCTACAATATCATATTTGCTCTCATGCGATTAGCTGAGCTTAAACGGGTCACTGGTGTTATTTCGGAGAAAACGGGTTGCTTCGCGCTTCTTTTGTTCTTGCCTGTTGTTGTACAAATGTATATTATATATTCTGTCTGTTTAGTTTCGATTGTATATCTAACATGTGACGCTGTAGACTGCCTTAGTTGTTACTTAAAATGAAATCCGTCATAAAGGAATGATAAAGTTTACAGAACGTAATCAAATGTTGTGAAATCCAATGATTTTTTTTACTTTTCTACAACATGTTAAAGATTTTGCCAATTTTGAAGGCTATTGTAAGTTAAATGTCGATGCATAAATGTATGGTGCCTCCGATTTTGCGTGAATTGAAGAAATAAATCTTTATGAAGCAATATCTATATTGTACAATGCACGAGTGATTAATTGAACCCAATACTTGACAAGCATACCTTCTGATATCGATATATCAATGACCAGAACAGATATTCTCATTACATGACAATAACATGTGCAATAATGACATGACAATAGATGTTTAAATGATATGTCATTAACAGATGCTCCGATGACGTGGCAATTACAGATGTCTCAATGACGTAACACTAATAGATGTTTCAATGACGTGGTTATAATAGATGTTCTCGCAACGTGACAATGACAAATGTTCTCAGGGCGTGATAATCATAGGCGTTTTCATTATATAACAATAATAGACATTCTTATGAAGTGAAAAGAACTATTTTCCCATGATTTGATATTATTAGATGTTCCAATAAAGTGAAACTAACATATGTTCTTATAACGTGACAATAACCGATGTTCTGAAGATGTGACAATAGCAAATAATCTTACCACGTAATAATAATAAATGTTCTAAGTAAGTTACACTAACGTGTTTTATGACGAGTGAATTATAAATATTCTCATGCAGTGACAGTAACATATGTTCTCACACCGTAATAATAGATGTGTTCACGCCGTGAAAAGAACAAATGTTCTCAAGATATGAAAATACTTGTGGCAGATGTTCTCATGACATGACAAGGATAGATGTTAATTAAAAACAAAACAAATATTGAAAAAGTGCGATGTAAGCTCTCATCCTAGAAAGAGGTTTGATCGGTCTTATTTGGAAACGCTTAAGTCAGCTGAACTCGTGTCTACAAACACACGGACGATACAGTGTGCGCTTGTATACAGACTATTCCTTCCCTAGGTATGTACAATAAAGACTAGTTTTGTCTTCTTATCTGAGATCTTTTAACGCACTTCAACAACCTTGAATCATAATCGACCAGTATTAAATCACTGCTGACGGTTAGTGTAAGGAATAAAGAAAATAATTGTTTAGATGACGAAGCAACATTCGGTGTGTCGTCCAGGAAAAGATAAAGCACCCTTTATTTCTACACTGACTTTGATAAAAAAATGTTATGGGATTCATAGTGGTCCTGGGGATTCGAATCGTATGTTGGCAAATATCTGGCTCTTACAGTCGTTAAGTAAATGACCATGTCGTTGAAAAATCCTTGAAGACACGTATCACAAAAGACCAGTGTTGGCTTAGATGACCTATGATGCCCTAACACAAACACTTCAGAGATTAAAGCTGTATCTGCGAGACAGGGACTTGTACAGGTTATAAGTTTATATAGCATGTTTAAGATACTCACAACTGAAATATCACATTATCATGTTTATAATTTTCTGCTCGAAATATGAAGAAAATCTAAATCAATGGCCCTAAAAAGCTGAGTTTGGCAACCTATGGTATTTACATGTCACAATGGATCAATATTCAAGGCCATGTTCCCATTATCACGATTTTCATGCAAGAAATCGTCAACTGACTGACAAACTTGTAACACAGGGGTTCAAAAGATACAGGTTGATTGGGGGGTTTTATGGTGTCGTCGATGAACAGAAGACGCTTACACTTCCGAAACACCCGGTTTTATTCTCCTTGTTTTATTTTTCTGGAGTTTCCGTGTTAATCTTTCTAATGTTCATATTTTGCCCTGGTTTTATTTAATTTTAGTTTGGATTCTGGTTGACATGTTGGCATTGTTGTTGTTTTTATAAAATAACACTAAACACATCGTTAAACTTCAATACATTTTATTACAGCTTTTCCAATAGAACATATAGTGCATATCTTAACAGGCCGGCTGTCTTCATTGAAAAAATAAATCGTTCAGGATCTTTTTTAAATGTCATGAATCATTTCACATTCTGCATAATATTAAATGTATTAAATATAAGTCTATTTATTATACATATATACAGTCATTAAATAACAAACGACAAACTATATTGTTTTATGTCGTAGGTACAACACAATAAACTTGCTAAGTACGACAGTATTTCACAAATAGTTTTACAGTTAAACATTTCATGCTATCAAAATGTCTAAATTTAAAGACAAACTTTTCATCCTAGACATATCAATAAAGAATTGATATAGTAACATTTACAGTACAGTAAATATGACGGCCTTTATCTCCTATATGTATTTAGGTAAAGCAGTTATAACTGCAGTCCATGTTTGTCATAAAAATGAGCTTCACTTCTCGACGTCTCGACAAATGACTCTGGTCAGGGAAAAGTCGACCATAACTATAGCCCAGCAGTGAATTGGACTCAGTTAGATAAGATTATATATTGACTGGGAAAGAAGAACTCGATGAACAAGCACATACACTTACACCAGATAACCACCAATTGTACCTTTATTCTGAAAATATCTCAATTGAGAATTCAATCCTGACCAACAGAAATATAAAAAAGTGACAAAATTAGAAGAAATAAATGCGACTTTTTCATTTTGGACCCATTGATTAATTGAATAATCATTTTAAGCTTAAAACTACCTTTCTCTGAAATTTCTAAATTGACAAACCTCTCTAGGGATATTTTCTGTTAAATATATTTTTTCTATCGTTATATGTGTAGTCAATCTATCATGTCACGATATAACATTGACATAAAACACAAAGAAATTGTCCTAGTGGTATAAAGAACTACACGTATCACCAAATTATCAAAAAGAAAATAATTATACATGTGGATTTTTGTGTTAAATTTAGGCTTCATATGTGTACACAATTATTTGACTTTTCTTTAAAAACGCAACGGATAAACACATCATACATAGTTCTGCAAGAGTTACTCCCCCTGCATTAATACCTTTTTGCCTTTTGTTCATTCTGCTGTGATAAGAGAAAAATGATCGTAAGAGGTAAACGTAAGACCATGCAATATGTATGTATTTATTTGTATAGAATGAATCTTAATTATATAAAGTTATGGTTTCTCATTTTCATGCTTTATTTTGATTTTCATTTTAAATCTGCTAAAGAAACATTCACATTTACATTGGATGTGAATGGTAGGTGTTGTTTTTTATTCCATACCGATTCATGAAACGTTTTGATATTGATTATTGGATCTGGTTGACAATATATTCAAGGTAAGATCTTTGCAAGAACTAACTGTACTCTGTTTCGCTGACTTGTATTGTTTTCCTTCTGATGACAAGAAAATACATGATAACATAATCATAATTCAAACTCATAAAACTAGGGCAAAATATTTACACGGAGACTCCTAAAAATAAAAAAAGTTCAAGGAGGTGTTCCGAAAGAGTAACCGTCTTCTGCTTCATCGACGACACCCGTCATGGAAACTTTGCTTAATCAATTTAAGTTTATCCAAGAACAGATAAAAAGAACTTGTCGTGTCCTTCAATTTATTTATATATATATTAAATAGTTACCACGTAAACTTGTAACTTTAATGTATTCTCGTAATAGTCATTAAAATTATGTTACAAAGTAATTTATTTGATTCTGAAAGGTGTACTTTTCAGTTTTGATATGATATCACTGTCATGCTAGTTATATTTGTACACTACTGAGTAATCCTAACAGACAAAGTAGACATACCAGACGGTAAACAATGCATATCTCTCTAAAATTTCTCTATTCACTAAATTTTATTGTAATGATAACATGTTATACATGTTTTGTGAGAACATGAAGCGGGTTTTTTTTTTTTAGATTTATATCAAACTAGATGTTCCATATTGTGTGTTAATTATGATGTAGAGTATGTGCTAGTAACACGATATGATGAGTCCTACGTTTTTGTCAAAATGATTCCCTCACAAATTACAAGTTCATAGAATCAGTTTACGTAAGCAACAGAAAAAAAAATACCAACATGTCAACATAACCATAATCCAAACTCAAAATCAATAAAACAATGGTAAAACGTGAACAAAGGAACGACATCCGCCACGATAACCTTAAAAAAAATCCAAGTACGTGTAATGTCACGTTCTGAAAGGAGAACAAGGTTTACAAAGACAGAAACATCAGGAAAACTAACGAGCATCAAACACGCCAGCTTCATATCACACAAAGAAATAGAATTTCTCTCAATTAGATTGCTATAACGACCGTAAAACTATCCCATAATACAAAGATACACGTGGATGTCATTTTATCGTTCGATTAAATTAAAGTTTCGTAAAAATTTCACTATAGATCATAAAACCTTTTTAGTTACACAGACATGTGTACCACAGTTAAGAACATTGAAACAATGAGATTAAATACCTTTCAGGTGTACAGTATTATCACTTTTGTTTGTCAATATTGCTAGCAGGTTTATGGGAGGCTTTCGATGTGTTGAAATGAATAAGTAGCATTCATACCAATGTAGGTCATTAATCGGCTTTGGACCATAGCTGTTCGGCAAGGAAAATTATGCGCAGTGATTATCAATCACTTTTAGGATAAACGGAATCATTTTTTCAAATGAAGAAAATTAAACAGCTATCTTTTTAATATCTAACAGACACAATAAAAGGATTTGCATTATATTTCTATTAAACGATATTGAGTATTCATTAAACGACATCACAATTTGCAATATGTTCATTATACAAACACTCCTGTTCGATTTTTGCAATGTTATTCATAGCTTAATGTTTTAATTGTTTTGAAAGGGTAATATAGGCATGTCAATCTATCTCCCGCTATCAGAACAGGTAAGCCAATTTAATGGTCCAACAAAGTGACTCTGGAAGGGTGAACATTTAATGCAATCTAACACCGTTCTGGAAGGACAGATACTTATTTCCATTTATGACAAAAACGATTCGAAAGAAGGTGAAATCTATTTAATACAGTTAGAGGTAAATAAAGGAATCAAACATTCGCAAACAGTCAACGCGTCAAGTCAACTCCCGAGAGTTAATATCATCCTACAATGTACCTATCAACACATCTATTTCAGAAGGAAAAGAGTTATTTCTATCAGAACTTAGAACCTCAATACTCCAATTGCTTAACCACAACAGCTTGTTCGGTATCGCTATAGAGACTGTGGTGGATATAGTCACATTACATGTGCATTTATTGATATTGTCATTTTTAGCAGTAAGGTAGCTTCTTCTTTGATAAATATAAATAAAACAATCTGAAAATAACGCGCGATTTCTGACGTATTTAAGCAAAATCGGTCGTCGAATTACCTATCTTAAGGAGCGAAAAAAGTTTTTTAGATCGAGGTCGTTAGTTTAGTAGTTATATAACAATGACGGACAGGATTTTCACATTCAATAAAGGAGTAATTTTTACTTTCCGATAACACTATATCTAAATTCTTAACATATATGTAATCTTCACAATAAACCACATAATGAATAAGATACCACCTCCAATTAATTTTCAAGTTAGGAAAAAAAGATTAACATGGAGATTTCTAAATAACACATATAACACGCTGTCATTGCAAACGGCGTACAGTCGGGTCAAGTTTGTCACGCTCAGGAAGAACCATAAAGTGTGTATTACATATTATAAAGTTGTATGAAGTACTGCGATAGAGCGTTGAACTGAGGATTAAGGTTAAAAGATAGGCTACTCATCATACATGTGTTCGAGTTATTTACCTCTATAGGCTGTCCTCACTATAACTTAGAAGATATTTTCACAATTGGTTTGTACTTGTATACAAAGTGTCATCTGCTATCTAGCCAAACTCAAAGTTATAACACATCTTTAGTGTGTGTTGCAGTGTAGAATATTTTGGAATGGTTTCTTTTACACTTGAGATGCCCAATGCTACCTGTCATTATCTCTTCGTAATAAAGGATAGCAGCAACACAACATATAGGATGAGGTTAACACTCCCTCATACACCAACAGATATTCTAGTGAAGTGGCTACAGATTTGAACGGAAAATATTACTTTACTCTTCCTAAAACACCGTCCTGTATAGAATAAATATATAGCAGATTTGACGGAACAAGTCATTGCATATTGCCATGCAGTTAATTTAGCCATAAAAAGCTTTATACATATTACCGTGAAAAGATATCGCGATTTTTCATAACCATGTCCGTCCGAGATAAAAAAGGCGACATTTTCAAATGACGTTCGCTCTAGTAAATCTTGGTTGGAAGCTATAAACAAGTATTTCTCACATTTTTTCCGATGGCAATTAATTGACAAGATAACAGTTACTTTCTTATTTAATTTTTGAATTATCAAATAGGTGTATTTATCAAATGAAAACAAACGTTGTCCGTTGTAGACAGTCAGATAATCAGAAACTTTGTAAATGTGTTGTACTGTACTTAAACTCTGTGAAAAAACAACATCATTTATATCGGTCTGAAATGATGCATACGCAGATTATTCTTTTGAGTACAAGTAGGCGGGACCGTTTGGGATAAATGTACCAGCCTCTGCAACCCTTCATTTCCCGCGTTTTCGTGAAGATGTCAGCAGCAGTAGCCGGTATGAGGCGTGAGTTTAAACGGATGCTTTAAACCTCATTCCAATGACTAGAGATGGATTTCCAATAATTTCATAAAAAATGCGCGAAACTATTTCACCCACATACTATGCTAAGCTCGCGACCCTTGACTGAGTATATAGATTGCGGCACCTTGATGGATAGCTGATGTGAACTGGCCACCCACACGACGGAGTTACACCTTAGTATTAACCATCTTTACATTGTCATCGACCATCATGGAACGAGTCATTCTGTTACTCCTCACAATTGTAAGTAGTATTTCAAAATCTTTATATCTCTGAATTTGTATGAAGTTAGAATTATTAGTCAAAAAGAAAAAAATCCTCTCTACACGGTTACTTTGGTTTTTTACTCAGCGTTTTTATTTGACATTTTGCGGTCATTACATCCCAATGACAGAAGTAATAACTATAATGGTGACAGCATTACGATTGGGAAATTATAAGAACGCTCCATGAACCGAAATAATAACAGTGACTATTAAGATGACGGCCAACAGCTGTCTAGACCAAATAGTCGTGTTTGCTTTATCGGTCAAGTGTTGTGATATTTACATTTTGTTACATTTATATATGTACTGTATGCATAGTGAAACAAAAAGACTGTTTTCTGGTTGCTTCCATACTACAAATACGTAAACGTATCCGCGAACATTTATTTTCATTTTTTGGATCGCACCAATACATTGCTTGCATACATTGTAAATACATTTTGCGGGTTGAACCTCTGTCAGATGTAGGTGACCGGTAAATGTAGTGTGTGGGTATGACAAGTTGTGTGGTACATTGATATTGGTTTTTTTTGTCAGTTACCGCCTTTTATTTTACTGCTTTTAAGCTCGAAAAAAAATAAATGTTACGTTTAAGAAGTGTTTTTTTGTAAAAAAACAAAAAAAACAAACCTTTGTTTTTACTGTCTCTTGCCAAAATCATACATATGTCATAGCTAGGAACTGTAACTTTATTTCCCTTCCACTTTCGTTGTTATCTTCTAAAATTTGATAATTCAGTCTATAGAAAAAAGGGGAGATCTAATCTTTTTTTCGGAAAAAAAGTCTTTAAAATTAATTTACATGACAGTAAGATAATTCTTCAATGTTGTCCTCACTAAGGAATAAAACTACAGACAAATTAAGATTCTATTCACTACAATACAAAAGCTGAGAGGCAGGAGTCTTGTCATAACCAAGCTGAGGTAGTTTTCCATAAGAAATAGGAACTCATTAAAAGTGGTAACAAACACATTCCTTCATTCCGATCTCAAACTGATATTTAACATGTTGAGAAATACAATGTCCTGTTTTAATACACAGATCTGTTTATCTTATGTTTGTTGTTTATTTTATTTCAGGCTGCTGTAGGCGTATCCTCTTCTCGAGGTGAGTATGGAGGTACTATTTACAGCTATTTACAAATTCTCAGATATAAACAAGGTACACTTTGCATTCCTTTGTGTAGCCAGTAAATCCACACAGCTATTAAAACTGATTTTAAAGTGTCGATGCACAGCAGTTGAGAATCCTTTTTGAAAAGGAGGATTTGTTTTCGGCATTTTATTTAAATCCCTATTACACAAAACGGAAACATGTAACGTCACCTCACGCGATGTTCTATAAAAATTTAAAAAGCTATTTAGGAAAAATATGTTAGATGAAGCTGTAGTGCATGGGACAAACAGGGTCATTGGCTCGTGATTATACGGAGTTTATAAATCACGTCGGAAACGTGGGATGGGGTTATTGCGTATGAGGAAGATCTACGTACAACAACCAGCATCCGCTTACTTGGTTAGACTACTTAAGTGAGCTTTATATGGAAAGCTTTTGCGTAACATCGAAGTTCATTATATTTTTAACCATATCGAAAATTTGTTCTACATCTTTCCCGCTTCAGATATTTTCGCACTGATATTTCATTAGCGTGTCCATTATTGTGAAAGTGGACACATGCTTTGGGTATTCAACAGATATAGCAAATAGTGTTATTTGTAGGGTTAAAATTGTACCAGTTTCATCACAAACTTGACACTTTGATAGAATTATTTACTGATTGATGAGGTATAGAAGTAAGAGATATTGGAGTGCACATGTGTTCACTAGAAAGCCAGATATTGGTAATTGTAGCTTTTGGAAGTGGACAAAAAAATGTCAGTCCCTTAGATTTGCCGTTTCTCCTATATCTCATATAGAGGCAGGGTGCAGACTATGCAAATGCACTTTATGTGTTCCTAATGTCACGAATAAATATAAATAATATCCTTTTAATTCTGTGAAACAAATGTATGCCTAACATAAGTAAACCTAAGGTATTTTCCTTTGGCAGACTTGGACGAGGAAATGCAGGTAGACTCCCATGATTGGACGAAAGGTCATAGCACAGTGGGAGCGTGGAACTATATTCCAAGAGGTGATGATCTTAACCCAATTCCCATATATAAGTAGTTATGTCCTATCTAGAGTATTTACAGATAAGAGTTGTACAATCTCAGGATTGAATAACGATAAAATGGCCTTTACAAAGCCACATAATCAGTGCCAATAAAGTCAACAATAGAACAATGCCGACTATGCAAACTTCCGTGAACAAGAGAGACACCACACTTAACTACTTATTGGCAACGGTCATCCTGTCGTTAGTTGTGATGTCCTTTCACTGCTTCCAAGAGAGAATATGTAGAGGAACGAAAGACATCAACACATGTAGCTACAGCTACAGGAGGGTTGGTACTGTCATATTAGATAAGTCAAATTTGGAATAAGTCACTCAAAAAGAAACCCAATAATAGCTCTAACTTTACCCCTATATGTGAATCGTAATTTTACGAATTATAGTTTTTTCTTCTTCAGGTTGTAGTGGAAAACCAGCAGATGTATTCTTAGTGTTTGATACGTCAAGTGAGGTAACCGTAAGGCAATTAGCGTATCAGAAGAAATTTGCCGTCGATTTGCTACGAGTATTTTCTTTTGGCAAGGAAAACACTCGCATGAGTGTTGTAACGTACAGTGATAACGTCATGCAAGTATCATCCTTCCAAGATGGCACAACTATACAGAATGTTACCTTTACGATAATGAATAGTGTTTCCTCGGATACCACAGGTCCTTGTAAAGTCGACAAAGCACTACAGTACATTGCTACAGAAGGTTTTTCTTATTCTAACGCGAGGCGTGAGGTTGCTCATCTGGCCATTTTATTTGTGAACAATAGAATAACGAACAAAAAAGAAGCGAAACGGTATGCAAATGAAGCGAAGAATAAAGGAATATACCTGTATACTATAGGTCAGAGTTCATCTATCAGAAAGCAGCTCTCCTCCATCTCTTCTCGTCCTGCTAGGGCGTTTGTATTCAATGACGGAGATGATACGCTTGTCGAGTCCCTGGCTGATCTACTGATGATACAACTCTGTGAATGTAAGTATCTTTATTTCTTATCGTCTTTTATCGTTCAACATGGTTTTTTTCCAAAACGAACCCCGCAAGGACAGCATTTTCCTTTGAAAATGTGTATCAGTATTTATTTTGTATGACTGGTGTTACAAGCAGCCTGGACTGAGCTATCAACTTTCATCACTCTTGATACACCTTTTTATGATAAACATGATAAAGATTTACCTGGAGTAAAACTTATTTGTGTCAGACATCTGTGTCTTCTTCTACGCATGATATTCAGAATACAGTAAGTAAAGACTATGTAATTGTTCTACTTTGACAGATCAAATTGAGCCTCCCGTGAACCCGCACACATTCTACTGTAAGTAACCTTTCTACTTACCGACTCACAATGACCCTGTCAGACATAACGAGTCTCATGTGATAGTTGTTAGTTTTCCAAACACTCGTTTTAGAAAGTATAAGCCGCTTAAGATATGTTTAAAGCAATGGATTTGTAGATGCATGCATCGTGAGTCGTCAGACATGAAACTAGCCAAAAGTCATTAATTTCTTTGCATCAAGGCATTTAAAGCTGCCGAACATGTGATATTACAAGATGGATGTCGCCAGAGTGACTTGGTACTAGTTATCAATATGTTAGATGGAGGTAACCAAAGGAACATTGTATTTATTTTGTTGGTACGCGTCGGGTAACCAATGGCAGTGATGATCAATGTGTTGGTATACATCAAGGCAACAAATGGGACGTTGTAGAAACGTGTCAGCACGCGTCAGATAAAAAAGGGGCGTGATAATTATTGTATTGGTACAGGTCGGATAACCAATGTCCGTTATAATATGTGTTAGTACTCGTCAGATTCCGAAGGACGCAGTAACCAATATGTTGGTAGACGTCGGCGGTAACCAAAAGACGCAGGGATTAATTCTTGGCTCGCGTCAACGGGACGTGGTGATAAAGTGTTGGTATGTGTTGACGATTACACTGAAATGATATTTAGTGTGTTTATTGGCTTCGGAGTTAGCCAGGTAATAAACAACGTACGGTTACAGGTCGACGGCAACCAAACCAAAGAACTTTGTACATGTATTAGACGTAACCAGAGGGACGCGGTTAGGTGTGGAGAGACAGCAGCTAATAAGTTAGAAGCCGTCAATGATAGCAATTTTCTTTAACTACTAAGCGTCCCGTATACCCACTGATCTGGTAGGTTTTACCACATCGCTGATATGGTACGCATCATAAATATTTACTGATCTTGTAGGTGTCTCGTATATTCACTGATCTTGTAGGCGTCTCGTCTATTCACTGATCTGGAAGTCGTCTCGTATATTCACTGATCTTGTAGACGTCTCGTATATTCATTGATCTGGAAGTCGTCACGTATATTCAGTGATCTTGTAATCGTCTCGTATATTCACTGATCTTGTAGGCGTCTCGTATATTCACTGATCTGGAAGTCGTCTCGTCTATTCACTGATCTTGTAGGCGTCTCGTCTATTCACTGATCTGGTAGGCGTCTTGTATATTCACTGATCTTGTAGGCGTCTCGTCTATTCACTGATCTTGTAGTCGTCTCGTCTATTCACTGATCTGGTAGGCGTCTCGTATATTCACTGATCTTGTAGTCGTCTCGTCTATTCACTGATCTTGCAGGCGTCTTGTATATTCACTGATCTTGTAGGCGTCTCGTATATTTACTGATCTGGTAAGCGTTGGGTGTACCTCAGTCGGTTGATATAATATCAAGTGAGATGTGCTCTTAAATTTATATATGTGTTTGCTTCTGTGATAGGCTTTCACCAGAACTGATATAAACAGTATTCGTACTGTTTGGTCACGTTGATATCTTTGTCTGCCAACGTGACAAATAATACCATTGTAATTGTGAGCACGCGGCGTTGATCGAGATTAAGAAGATTGCATTTACTGAGGGGGTTGTCGGTTCCTTTGCTGTAGCGGTAGTCGGTCCAGCAAAGATAAACATGCCGATATGCAAAACTTAACAACTTACAAATTATTTATGCATCTTGATATAAACATTGTAAATGAAAAAGTAAATCGTGTTTAATATTTTTTTTTATCAAATATCGTCGATAATTACCTTTGAGTTGTTTTATTTTCAGACTGCGATGTTAGCAGACCCGTTGATTTGATATTTGTGGTAGACGAAATTAGCATAGGTGCTAGAAACACTCAGAAGATTTTTCATCTGATAGAATTTCTGGTGTCAAACATGAATAATAACAGAGACGGGTTGAAGATTGGTCTTGTAAATAGTAAAATAAACTACAAAACAGTTGGTAGAGGACTGAGTTCAGTGGAGGACTTCAGCAACAGACTAAGTACTGTAGCCATCTCTGACCACGGTGATATCATTAAACGGGCACGGCGCATGCTCAGACGGGGACGAATAAATGTTCAAAAGACAATCATACATTTTGTTGACAACAATGTCGATATCACGAAACGTGCTCTGCTTGAAGCCAGGAAAAACAAGAGGTTTAAACTGGAGACGTTTGTGATCGCTACGGGGCAAGGTTTAGACCTGCGTACTTTGGAAAAAATTGCAAGCCAGCATAGTTCTCACCATGTCCTCCGTGTACAAGACTACCACATGCTGGCCTCCATAGGGCCAAACATATTAAATACAGTTTGTACTTCATGGTGAAAAGGCAGGAAGTGACGAGTTAATCAAGAATGCTTGAAAGCATACTGGTTTTAAGCTACAATGAAAGTGTGGACTGCAGTTATAACTGCTTAATTTGAGTAAATATGGGAGATAAAAGCCGTCATACGCCTGTACTGTTTCTGTAATTATTACTGTATCAGTACTTCCTTGATATGTCTTTGATGAAAAGTTTGTCTATAAAGTAAGACATTTTGACAGCATGGAATGTTCGACAGTAAAACTTTCGTTCTTAGCAAGTATATTGTATTGTACCTACGATATGAAAACAACATATTTTGTCGTTTGTTAGTTAATGACTTTATTTATGTATCAGAAGTAGACTTATATTTGATATAGTTAATATTGTGCAGAATGTGAAATGATTCATGATATTTAAAAAAAGATCAAGAAAGATTTTATTTCTATGGAGACGACAGTCGACTTGTTAAGATATACACTGTAATATGTTATATTGGAAAAACTGTAATAAAATATATTAAAGTTTACTGATGTGTTTAGTGTTATATATATATCAACAAGAAAATGCCAAATTGTCAACAACACCAGAATCCAAAATTCAAATTCAATAAAACCAGGAAAAAAAACCGAAAAAAAAATGAAGAAGATTTACGTGTAAACTCCAGAAAAAAATACATGGAGAATAAAACCAGGTGTTCCGGAAGAGTAAGCGTATTCTGCTTCGTCGACGACAACCGCCATGCAAATCTTATGGCACGTTTTGAAACAAGAACAAGATATGCAACAACGGAACCAACAAGTAAACTAAGGAGCATCAAACACGCCCAGCTTCATCTAATTAATCACCAATTCAGGAGATGATTGCTTTTTACGACTGTGGGAAAAGGCAAGAATATTTGTTTTGTTTCTTTCAAAGTAGCAATTGCATTGTCAAGCTAGATTTTTTTTGCGTTGAATTGTGTGTGGACCGGATGTAGCTTGAAACATAGAAATAAAAGACAATCATCATCGTCATCATCATCATCGTCGTCGTCGTCGTCATCATCATCATCATAATCGTCTGTAACCGACAGAGGCATTATTCAAAGACGCTGGACAGTGTTAGTACTTCCTCTTTTGTGAGCTTTCCGTTTTACTAAATACATTCTTGCTTCCATATCTTTGAGCTTTAATCAAGGTTTCAGCTTTTTGTCATGTTAACCGTTACCTATGTCAATAACTGATAAACCTTTACAACGAAGATATTGCAGAGATGAAAGTTCAGGACCACAGAACAGAGGTCTAGTTCTCACACTGATCTCAGGAGGAAATAGCATCGTTTCTTATTCGATATAAAGTTAAAGTATTATATTCTTGATAGCATAGCTGTGTGTCAGAAAGCCTGTCTTCAGTAATGCATGAAACACCAGCTGTTTTGTCCGAGTACTATTGCTATTTTGCAATAGCTCTTATTGAATATTCCTTACTCCATCTTATGCTTTAATGAAATGCATGTTGATTATGAATTACGTTTTGTGTACAATTTTGTACTTTGGTATTTTATTTGCGTTACTTTAAGATATGCATTTCTTAAGTGTGGACGACAAAACGTGCTTATGTTGACACTAAATATAATGCTAACTTATGTATACACTGAAGGGAAACACTTATTACTTCAAAATAACGACAATGAAAAGCACAAAGAACTATAAAAAATGAATGATGTGGATACCAAACATTTAAACAAAGAAACCAAATACAAAGAACTGACTTCATTGACAACGCGATGTATCCAGGGCTATGTATATTTCAAAAGCTTCAAAACAAATTTAAACCATACGAAACACTTGTGACTTGAAATAATTTATTTAGAAACGAAAGTAAATTCTAATTTACAAGCTGAATACAGTAATGAGCAGGTGAAGTACAAGTCCATAGGTCCTTGGCTATATCATAGGAAAGTCATTCTTCTGTTTATCCTCATCTCACACCAATTTGGTCACTCCGTAACGTTTATGTGCAGACATGACACTTTAAGTACTTACTCACTCTAGTGTATCTACAATGTTACCATCACACAGTTCTGATAATGTCTGACTTTGACCGTTACATATCTCTCTATATAGCGTCACGTTAAGGCACATCAAGCTTACGAACTAAGAGGCAGTGCGATAATAACGCCAGGATGAATTGCCTGTTTATAAAAGAAGATGCATGACCTGTTATTTAAATAAAGACGGAATTGTTTGTAATATTTTGAAATTAGAAATATTTGCTATTTTACAAAACTAGAATATTTGTATATCACGGAACGATATTCATTTATTTCTCATGTTTTGAATTTGTAAAAGAACAAAAACGTAAGTGTAATATAATAATGTAGGACATTGACATGCTGAATATCTTAACATCTTTCACAAATATTAAGAACAAAAAAAAAGACACCATGTTAATATAGATATCATACACACTGAAATGAAATATTTCCACTTACCTAACAACTGTATTTTACGTCAAATACAATTCCAAGTGATTCTGCGAGACCAAGGCTGTTCATGGCATTCAATGTCATACTAAATGGCTCAGATGCTATGTCCTGGAGCTCAGGTTTAATCTTTTTGAAAAGTTCTTTCGGGAAGGCGAGAAAGACATTGAAACCTTTTCCTCTTAAATCATCAGCAGCGGCTTTGGTTTTTTCTAAGTTGTTTGCAGAACCGTCAACGAACAAAACGATGGCCTTGACATCTGATTGTTCTTTCATGAGGAGGTCGCCAGCAGCTTTAAGTGCTTTAGCTTCATCACGTGGGCCATGTTGTTCTTGAGAGATACCTCCTATAGCTGCCACAAGGTCGTCGTATGATTTATCACTTCCTAATGGGACACTGATTGCAGTAGAGCCCCCGTACACGAGTCCTGCGACTGCTATATTTCCATTGTCAGGTAAGAATTTGACTACTTTTTTAGCGTATTCTTTCTGCTCGGAGAAGTCTGTAGTGCCTTCAGCGGTGTCAAACGCGAATGCGATCGAGCCAGTATTACCAGAATCACAAACTAAAAAGCACATAAGAAGATTTCGGTAAGATAACACCTTGTCAGTTTGAAATGTTCAACGATATGTTTCATACGCACGTCAAATTTAAAGTTTGTTAAATTCATGATTATAAAAAAAGAACAACAAAAAACACGTGCTTTAAATTTGATTATGTTACATTGATGATCACACCTCAACATGTACGATGGTTCAGCTTTCAATATAATTTCCAACAGCATGCGTATGTTACTTTTGCTTTAAACCAAAATTCTGAAACTGTATCTATTTTTGGCATTTCATGGTTGTTATAGATACTCCAATTTGAAATGCATGTTAAGAATTAATAAAATAATATGGAATAGTTTGCCTTCCTTACCGATAGGACCGCCTCTCCGTTCTAATATTTTTGCAACTTCTTGTTCCACTGAAATGAAAGGAACACAAACAAATGTTTCATTAATCATCATCTGTTATTATGTTTCATTAGCCAAATGAATGAATACAATAATGAGGATATGGAATACAATTCTGAATATGTATAATAATGCAAATGACAATCAGATATCTGAAGGCTTATATTCTAATATAAATGAACACGTGATATTAATCTAATCATAATTGTAGTCACTGTTATATAGTACTTACAAGAGTACGGCATTGCTTCGATGGTGGAGATCTGGAAAGGAAAGTTCATAATCCTGTTATCATTAACTTTAACCGGTATCTAAGCTGACCGTATATATTATCGTTAACTTTAACCGGTATCTAAGCTGACCGTATATATTATCGTTAACTTTAACCGGTATCTAAGCTGACCGTATATATTATCGTTAACTTTAACCGGTATCTAAGCTGACCGTATATATTATCGTTAACTTTAACCGGTATCTAAGCTGACCGTATATATTATCGTTAACTTTAACCGGTATCTAAGCTGACCGTATATATTATTGTTAACTTTAACCGGTATCTAAGCTGACCGTATATATTATTGTTAACTTTACGTAAGCTGACCGTATCATTAAGAAATAGAACAACACAATTCCTATTTTACCCAATATATCGTTGCTTGGAAGTTTTTCGTTTGTTTCCAGGTCACAATAAATAATAAAACAATAAAACAATATATATATGAGACTTTGATTCTTGCAAAGATGCTTTTAGACACGTATTCTTATGCACGCTGTATTTAAACGTTTGTCACCTTTACACGTAGTGTCACTGACGAATTTAAGAACTTATTTCTTCCCGATTGATATCATGATATGACAATCAGCTGCAGCCAATTATTTTTTTGTATTATTGGAAAATGTGAAAAGAAAGTGTTTCATTTTATAAAGTGTCTCATGTTATAAAGTGTCTCATTTTATAAAGTGTCTCATTTTATAAAGTGTCAAATTATGTTTTATTGATCTAATTATAATTATAATTGACAAAATATCAAATGGAAAACTTATATAATCAACACAATAATGATAGGCAGTTAAGTGTTTTACCAAAACATAAACTTCCCTGTGATTAGATATTGTTTTCATTGACCGCTTCGTAAAAGTCGATATTAAAACTTTTGTTAAAGAAAACCCCAAAGAGACACTTAAATGTACTTTTTAAGAAGTTAGGTATTTGGCTTTTGATTATATAGATAACCAAATATTGTTTTAGAAATTCAGTTAAATTTATGAAACTGTTACATTGAATAGTAACAAAGCATCTTACTTGAAAGAGCCTATTACAACAGCTGTATGCACTTACCACCGCGAGCGCGATGAACACAGCTGAAATCATGACGTTCTCCCTTGCTTTGCTTGTCGACGATAACGGTGAAATGACTGAAGTGACTTGATGACAGTAGGCATAGAATCAACTGGTATTTATACCTACCAACATCTCATTGTTTGCTTTGATATTCAATATGCTAATACAACCTTTGTATTAATTATTATTGAGTAATTAGTGATCAATGATATTTTCACTTCAAAGGAATTCTTCTGTTGAAGCATGTCGACTTATGTGATCGAATCTAATAATGACCGAATTATGTTAGTTCCAAATAATGATAAGAGTTATTCTATTATGCAAACTGTTTGTTGGAGACTTCTGTGGGCACGACTGCAGTAATAGATATTCATCTGCTTAAGCCGATATAATAGAACCGAAAAACATCGACAAATATACATTAATAAGAAAAATTACGTCGTATTATTTGGTGAGCATGCATAAATATGCATAAAAATGCATAAAAATGCATGAAGGTTGGCATTTAAAAATATGTATAATCAGTTTCAAAAGTTTGTATATGACTTTCAGAAAGTATCTACTACACTTAGATTTTCACAATCGTCCCTAGGTATTAACAATTTGGGTCTTAGAAGACAAAACAGCAATGTGATTAAGAAAAAATCATAATTTGGCTGCACTGCGTTTGATTATTAATTTGTATTGAAAGGTGCTATTCACTTGTGTGTCGTTTTGAAAATTGTGTACTTGTCATTCATGCCATTCGCTTCCTAAACTGTTTCTATGATAAGCGATTGTGGCCGGTTACATTTTCAACCTTTCGTACGTACGTATCTTTCTCGCTTTTTTCTCGTTACTCATATTTCGTATGTGGCCAGGCCATATATAAAAACTTTATTTATTTTACAACAATTGCGAAACAAGTTATGTCAACTTATACTAATATAATCACTCTTGTTGGCCCGGATGTAAGCAGGAGTACCCGGGGAAAACCCACGTGGTCCGTTCCGGGAATCGAACCCCGGTCAGCTAGGTGAAAGGCGAGTGCGTTACCACTGCGCCACCCGACCACCCCGGCCAGGCCATGGTACACTTGGTAACGTGAACATCAGTATATCTACCTTGACAGCATTGCATGAATGCTCAATATTGAAAATGCCTGTAAAATGATAAAAGATAATTTGAAAAGATTAATAACAAAAGCAAGGCAAGGTTTATGTTTACTTATGCATTTTTACTTACAAGAATATAACATTTTGTTCATTGAGATGCTCTGGATTTGGATCCCACGCATAAGACTAGAGAATACCTCAAAATACCTCAGCGTCAAACCTTAAGGGGCTTGTTGAGAAATTAATACGCTAGCATTTTGTGTTTAATGTATTCTAGTCTGTTCCTTTTAGCGGCTACTCTTGGCAAAATGTTTTAATGTTTCGATGTACCACAAATAGGGTTTGATATTGTCAAAATACGTAGAAATTGTACTGTATTACAAAAAAAAAAAAAAAAAAACAGAAAAAAGTAGAAAGTGATTTGAAAATATAGATCCGCTAACGAACCTTGATGCCTTCGGTTTATATCCTAAAGGAACACCCCTTTGTTCGGGAAAACCGAAGCAGTATAGATCCTAGCAAACTGCTCTAGCATTGGATAGAAAGTTTAAGTAGTCTACTTTGGACTCGGATACTCAAAGATGTTTCCATTTTAACTTAATGGACCCTAAATTTAGTCTGAATATTGCTTTTGTGTAAAACTTATGAACGAATCTGTTGATTTTTCAGCAAGCAAAAAAAAAAAAAAAAAAACATTTACATTAACAATAATGATGATATAAATCTTAGTTTGATTATTCAATGCAGAAGTAGAATAAGATAACATGATGATTTCACGATTTTACGTTGCTGATTCATATTAGGAAAAGTAACGATTCATATCATGTTAAATTTTCCAATTAAGTTTTCTTCTGTTCTCTTAGGCTATATTAACGAGCCTCAATTCGATGGTATCAACTTGATTGATATATAAATATTTATATATATATGTGTGCAGGTGTTACAATTTCCGCCCATCGAGAGAGGAAGCATTAGCAGCAACATCTAAACAATTAAATATAGATAAACAGAATTTGTTAATTTATTCAATTAAACGAAAAATGAACAAATGTTGCTACAACACTCGAATTAATCCAGACATAGTACATTCTACATATATCTCGGTTGTCATAGTGACACATTTTGCATTTCTATACAATGATTTTTTTGGTGTGATAACCAATATGCCATGCTACATTGAATATTTATATTATGCGATAAAACTAGTGTATGAAAGAGTAATTTGCTTAACCATGTGCATTATTTAACTATTACGAATACTGGCATAACATGCTGACTGAGTATCGACTGAGAGCTTTTTCTTGTTTATTCCATCTAGTATTGTTAAACTAGAATTCCTAAGTTTTATTGCTATACTGTTTCATAGCAATCTTCAGTTCTCTCAATTGTAACATTGGATACTGTCCACGAGTACATCATAGTCTGATCACCTTATTTTTTAACAAATTTAAGATAATGTGAAAGTCATTCAAAATATGTCGTTGTCGGTGCATTTAGTACTTTTGATTCCATCTAATGAGTATTACATAGTAGTTAAGAATTTGAAATATGGTATGATGTCAATGAAACAGGTTATGTTTGAACAATAGACATATACTGGTAACTTATCAGAAGTGAACTTTAAAAAATAAAAAAAGACAAAAAAGAAATGAGAGTAAAAACAAGGAGTCGGCGGAGGACGGTCCTCTTTATCGAAAGATAATTTCACGTTTAATGAACCAATGGTTTATTTCCTTCAGCAGAGGGACAGCTCGCATGACTTAGAATCACATGGCTTTCCTTTGTTCCTCATTTTGAATGAGCATTGTCTCCTGATATGAGTGAGCCCCAGGTGCCTAAACCTACGTATAAAGAAATGGAATAGCTGTACAAAGTTTTTGGTGTGTGCATGTATGATATTTTTGTTCAGTATAGAGCCCCGATGTAAATGCATATAGAAAAAAGAAGAAAAAAGTGGCTAACTCTAATATATTCATGATGTTGTTAGATATTGGGGCTTAACATCATTCTAAATATTTTTAGATTTTGAATTAATATACCAAATTGCGCCTACACAGGAAACGCTAACATTACCAGCAGCAAAATTAAGATTTCTGAGCACGAGGCAATGCTGTGAAAAATTCCTTAGAACAGAAATAATTTTGTTCTCAATAATGAAATGTTCAATTTTTGATAAGTGTCATAGTTGAAATTTCTTTTAATGTTGGTGAGATTTTCAGTCAAAAATTATCTCTCTCTCTGGTAGCAGTACACAGTTTCTCGGTGTGGCCATGGGTGACTTTTTTGTTCATTAGATTACCCCATTATAAAGGTTTTAATTAAAAATGAAACAAAAAATCCTTGCTAAAATTGATCCTGTCATGTTAAAGTGGACAATGTGGGGTTTCATTTTTTTCGGGATAATATTTTAGCTTTGTGTTGGAGATTACTATTTGGGCAGTCTCGAATCTGTGTCTACGCACCAAAAACTAGCTTTACAGGAAGTGAAATTTTCATAGTGTTTACATGTGGTCATGTTATGTTCCGAGTTGGAATTTAATGAAATGTAAGTACTTTGTTACCATGACAGTGTTGTTGATTGTAAGATAGGTGTTTAGAATTCAATTTCTCCTAGAAAGTTGTAGTGTTGGGAAAGAATTAGCAGTATTCTTGCATTTTTAGCATTTTCAGTAGGTAACCATGACAATCAAATGTCAGAAAACAGAGGAAATTTTTTTTTGTACACTAATTTCATCTCTCTACTGTTAATGTAATTGTTATGTAGTTTATAAATATATCCAATGTAATGATGTATTTTTCATAACCAATCTGCTATATCTGTATATCTCAAACATGACAAATAATTTCAGGAAAAATGCAAATTAACTGTTTACTGCTACCTCTCTTTGTTTTGCAACTTTTTAGTTGTTTTATATGGAAACCATGGTTTTCATCGGAGTTTCATAGAGAGGAAACATGTGTTTAGATATTGCACTACAGTCTATTAAAAGTGCATTTTCCGTGTAGTTTATGAAAATACTTTTATATTTGTGTCGTGCAGGGTTAACCGATCGAGTGTAACTTTCTGGAATGTGACTATTCTTATTCGTTTCGAATTTATTTCTTTATAATATATACGATTTTCAACGCATTTGATACAGTTAATACCGAGAACAAATAGTGGTTTGAGATCGGTCCATGTATTAAGTACTGTTTACTACAGACCCAACAGTTCAGCTTTTGTGTAATATGTCTGGTACCGATATATATAATCACTTTTTACGCTTTATTAAAAACAAAAGAATAACAAAAAAGGTATTAGTAACCAGTATGTTTTTATTAAAACATATTTCACTGCAGTTGTGTAACATGCATGTAAAGCATATCTAATAAAGGGCAAAGCAACAACGCAATTTCATACATTATCTTGGCATGAAATAGATGGCTTACGTAACTTTTGACGTAGGTTCAAGAATAAAAAAAAATGTATATAAACTCTCTTGTTTTGAAATTTCATCGAGATTTTACAGCATCACTATTCTACTTAACACTGTTCATAAAATCCATATCAATGTTGAAAGTAAAGCTCTCTTTATCAAATATTCTTCAGTTCTACAAAATCGAACGTTATTCGATACTACTTTGTTTACAACCTGAAACACCAATAAATTATAACCAGTTATTTATCCTGGTCCTGAAAAGTCTTTTATTTTACATATTTGATTTTAAACGTTAAAAGTGAATTACCTCGATATAAAAATAATGTTTAGTTCACTGTATATTTTTTTTAAAATATTTGCCAATGAAACAAGTTCAAAGTAAACAAAATTTAGATAATACCTGACGATCTTAAAAAATACTTGAGGCGATGAAACAACAGTAACGAATGGATACCCTTCACCATGTTAACTTTTAACGGTAACATTAATCCACCGATAACAGTTAGAGTCAACGCTGATGTTGAGAACAAGATATATCGTGTTATCTTTATGTGTACGAGTTAACATTTGTAAGTAAAATGTTGAAACTTGAGTATATTTTTGAATTGTTACATCCCCATCAACATGGGAGGTTTAAGCCTGACGCTGTGCGAGCAGTAGCAACAAAGGTGACTTAAATCAAAAAGTAACTGTGTAACAACACATATTGTCCAATACAGGATAGACAACTCCTGTTTCATTAGAGATGTTCCTCCGTGAAACTCTTTACACTTTAGTTGGAGTTTTGATTATGACCTACAAAAGAAATAGTACAGACATAACTACTTTAACATTGATTACAAATGATTTGTGTAAACTGTAACATGTTTAAATTATCTAATAGTATCAGGTTACTCCTCAAATTAATTTGTTATGAGACGATAGATAAATCATGATAAAATGTGGTTACCCTAAATCGTTCAGCTAACTACAATGTGTATACATTGAGATCATTGGTAGAAAGTTACATCATTTATTGATTTTTTAAATGGATTGTATTGTGAGCTAGTAAAGAAATATCTTACCGTTTTGACCTCGGAATACTGCTGTAGACCGTACTCTCCACTGGAAAGAGATAATATATTGCTCTTACTGTTTTATAGATATTGCTTAATCATTATTGTTATTTAAATAAGATTAAAAAAGAATGAAACGAACTATTATTTTCATACACGAGGATAAATAAGTAATAATAAATGAATATAAATATACTTACAGTTCGCGTCCGATACCCGACATCTTAAATCCTCCAAAAGGACACTGAGCGCCAAACACATTGAAGGAATTCACCCTGAATTAATACATTTTTTTTTAATTTTCGTACTCCGCACAATAATTTGGAAATATTGAAATTACAACATTAGAAAAAAAAACAACTACAGGTAGTGTCATACTTAAGAAACCATTATTCCTAATTCCTAATAAAACAGTAACAATAAGGCATAACGAACCACTATGGATGCATAATGATGTAAGAAAATTAATAAGGGATCGAAAACGATTACACCGAAAAGCTAAAGGTACCCAAAATCCGTATCACTGGCAGAAATTCAGACAGGCAAGAAATAAATGTATTGACTCTATAAGGAAAGCAAAAAATGAATATGTTTTAAAGTTAACCGGTAAGATAAAATGTATGTCTTCATCAACACGTGACTGGTGGAAGTTGATTAACAATTTTACAAATTTTCAACCAAAACTTCTCATATACCAACGTTAATGCAAAATGATATATATTATGGTGATAGTAAACAAAAAGCAGATCTTTTTAACAATTACTTTATTAGCCAGTCTACTATCGACGACTCTAATGTAACACTACCAAATAATGTAGCTACTAATAATACACTTGACACAAACAAGATGTTGAAGATGCAATAAATAAGTTAGATACTTCTAAAGCTTCTGGTCCAGATAAAATGAGTCCAAGAATTATTAAGGAAGCAAAGACAGGGTCTATTATTTCAATTCTTTCTAAATTGTTTAACAAATCTATCGACTGTGGTATATATCCTTCTATATGGAAAGTCGCTAATGTTACACCAGTTTTTAAAAAAGGTGACAAATCCGTTGTTTCAAACTATAGACCTATATCTTTGATAAGTATCGTTGGCAAACTAATGGAAAGGTGTATTTTTAAACATCTTTACAATTTTTTTAGAGATACAAATTATTTTACAAATTGTCAATCGGGCTTCACACCTGGGGATTCTGCAACAAATCAATTATTAGACATTACAAATGATATTGGGAGGGCTTTAGACGCGGGTAAAGAAATCATTGCCGTATTCTGTGATATAAGTAAAGCGTTTGATAGGGTTTGGCACAGGGGTCTTATACATAAATTGGAAAAATCTGGCGTTTCTGGTAAATTGCTATCTTGGTGCAAAAATTATTTAACTGACAGAAGTCAAAGGGTTGTTATAAATGGTATTTTCTCTGAAACCCAAAATATCAAAGCAGGTGTACCTCAAGGTTCAATATTAGGTCCTCTCTTCTTTTTAGTATATATTAATGATATAGTGAATGATATTAGTTGTAAAATAAAGTTATTTGCTGATGACACAGCCTTGTATATCATAGTTGAAAATCCCACGATTGCTATTAATACCATCAATAATGATCTTTCAAAAATACATGTATGGGCAAATAAGTGGTTAGTAAAATTTAACCCAGACAAGACAGAATCTTTATTAATTAGCCGAAAAACTATACCAGTAATTTATGATCCTATCACTATGGACAATGTCAATGTAACTAATGTAAAATCTCATAAGCATTTAGGGGTGTTATTTTCTGATGATGGTACATGGAAAAATCATACTGATTACATATTAAAGAAAGTGTCACCAAGACTAGCGGTTGTAAGAAATTTAAAAAACATACTTGATAGGAATTCTCTCCAAACAATATATTTTGCTTTTATCAGACCTATTATGGAATATTCTGACGTAGTTTGGGATAATTTACCCAATTATTTATGTCAAAATTTAGAAAACATCCAAATAGAAGCTGCAAGAATAGTTACAGGTGCTACTAAATTGTCAAGTGTTAGTTTATTGTATAAAGATGTGGGTTGGGAAAAACTTTCCAAAAGACGGGAAAATCATAAACTCTTGCAGTTTCATAAAATGTATCATAAGAAAACTCCATTTTATCTATCCATTCTAATTCCAAGTAAGGTATCAGATACCCACAGACATAATACTAGAAATTCAAACAATTTACTATTAATTAATTGCAGGACTCAGTTTTATAAAACATCTTTTTTAAATTCTTCAGTACATTTATGGAATTCTTTACCAATCGACATTCGCGAAAATCCGTCTGTCAGGATTATCAAAAGATTTTTACAAAAAGAAAATGTAATGATTCCACACTATTTTAATATTGGAAGTAGAAACCTTCAAATTTTACATACACGATTGAGACTTAAATGCAGTAATCTCAAACAACATTTATACTTAAGAAATCTGGAAGAAAGTCCATTTTGTTCATGCGGGTTAGTAGAAAGTACCCACCATTTTTTATTGTCTTGTGCTAATTATAACATAATTCGACAAAATACTTTACTTCAACTAGATATTACTCTAACTGAAAAAACTCTATTATGGGGAAACGACACTTACTCTAAACAGAAAAATGAACAAATATTCTTGACCGTGCAAAACTATATCAAGCTTAGTAAACGTTTTACCTAATATTTTTTGTCCTTTAATTCTTATTATAAAACTGTACATTATGTATTGTTTCATAGATCTGAATGGAGCTTTGAAAGGTAACCTTTTTTTACATACCAATAAATTAAAGCGCCACTACTTAAGTTGTAAATTACATTTTGTAATTCTATCCACCACATGTGCGTATACGTAAGTTAATATGTTTTATTGTTATGTCCAAATATTACTTTTTCATCCAATGTCGATGTTAGGTGTTCCATTTCCGATTTATATTTGTCTTTGTATGTACATGGGAAAGGAATTAATATAAGCTTTAAGCTTGTTTTCCCATCCCATAATATTATGCGTACCTGTCTGTAATTAAATGCTTATTACTGAATAAAATATTGTTTAAACTAAGAAACCATTTATGAATGTGATATAACTTTATTCGTTTACATGTCATGTCGTTAAGTTGATTTTGAATTGCTTTATATTATGATAGCTGCATTGGTCTATAGTAAGTATTTTGCTTGGTACATAGTGACATAGACGTGTGGTTAGATAGCGTATAGTGTATACGTACCATACGGTTCCAGCCTTGACCTGGCTGCTGTAGGTCATGACCTTGTCAATGTCTTTGGTGCAAATAGCAGCCGCTAGTCCGTAATTTGTTTTGTTTGCCCGCTGTATCACTTCATCCAAAGTTCTGAATTTGATGATTTGCTGAACGGGGCCAAATATCTTTAAAAAGAGATTTAAGAGCACATGATGAAACAAGGAGATAAATGTTCCAAAATATATCATCAACCAAGGATTTCTAATCAAGTCATTCTTCACTGACGACACATTGTTCAAAGAATTTCAATTTTCGGTTGACCTTAACAGACGCCATGACTATGAGAACTGTTTCCTTAACTGATTTGAGTTTTAAAGATAGTTATTTCAAACGTAGGCAAACCTCCTCCCTGCCGATGCGCATATCCTCTGTAACTCCAGAGAAGACTGTCGGTTGTATGAAGTATCCAACGTTTCCGTGACGTTTGCCACCACACTCTAGCTTGGCTCCCTGCTGCACTCCACTGTCTATCAGGGCCATGATCTTGTCGAACTGTTCCTGGTCAACCTGTGTAAAATAACTTTTGCGCATAACCAAAGCTATCGTTACCCTTTCACGTCTAAAGCATTTCAAGGTCATTGAAAAGTCAAATGGCAACAATACATTTGTATAAACCAAATCGGAAATAGGGACGTATGCCTTATCCATCAGAGAACATAAATAGACACATTTCATTAGCAATAGCATAAGGGAATGACTATTTTCCCATCTAAAGAAAGCATGCGTTTTTTTCTGATAAATCAAATTATTATCACGAAAACAAAAACCAACATTTTGACTATTTATTGTTTAACTATAAGTGTGTTGTTGGTACCTGGGGGCCTGACATGGACCTAGAATCGAATGGATCACCGACCACGCGTGTCTTGGCCTTCTCTACCAACTTCCTGGTGAAGACGTCATACACATCCTCCTGGACGTACGTTCTAGAGGCGGCACAGCAGCACTGACCCATGTTGAAAAACAATCCGTTGTGGCAAGCATCCGCTGCCACGTCCACTATCAAATTCAACATCGAAGCCATCATAAGGTATTGACAATAAAGGAAACAGGCCAATGAGACTGGACGTCAGACAAAGCCTTGCAAAGTCTTTTCACAAAGCATACATCAAGCAAACACAATTACAATTACAGTGCAATTTTCGAAATTACACCTATCACAAGATTGTGCAAAAGACATAAGTAAACAATACATGTCAAACCAAATCAGATGTAGATACGTTAAAGGAAATGATAGTGAACACCTATTGTTAATAAAATCAAACGTAAAAACATAAGATATCAACATTAAACAATGATGTAAGAAACTGAGACAGGGGAGATAACACCATGTATGTAAGCTGACAGATATCTACCGTGGGATAGCTTTATTTTAGGTCATGCTAAATGTAAATTTATCAATTAAATATTTTCAATTTCTAATAAGACCATACAATAATGAATATCTATTCATTGAAAATTAATTGATGGGAAATCGAAATACTTTTTGGAATTTACCTTTGCTGACTGAAAGGAAATGGCGATAGAGCAAATTCACACAAATAGCAACAATTACAAATTCTACAACCGTTCATCGATACCCCCTGGAATAAGAGAATTACTCACAATCAGCATCTGCAAATACAACATTTGGACTTTTCCCTCCAAGTTCCAGAGTGACTCTCTTCAAATTGGTACGAGCGGCGGCCTGCATAACAATCTGTCCTACCTGTGATGGAACAACAACATGCAATGACATATCAATCAAATTTAATGAAAAGATATCAACCGCCGATACAAATATAAAAAAGATGTTTTGTTTACAGAAAATGTACCTCTGTGGAGCCAGTGAAAGCAACCTTGTCGATTTCATAATGTTCGGAAATAGCAGCACCTGCTGTTGGTCCGTAGCCCGGTACAATGTTGATCACTCCTGGAGGGAAACCAGCCTGAATGATTTACAAACAACATAGATTAACATAAATATATTGAAAAAAGCAAAATATGTATATTTATATTTGTTTTATTGTACTTGCAAAGTGTTTAGAATAATAATTGCTTTGTCAATGTGTACATGTCCAACAGTTCATGACAAAATCTCATCGTTAAGATATCTATATAACTATATGAATATCAAAATGAAGCCATCATATTTCCAACTTCTGATAGACAAATATAAGAAATTTAAGTGGATTATGACTGTTGAGTGATATAGGTATCTGATACTACTACGAGGCTTATTGTAGATATTCAATAAAACACTATATGAATTAAATATCTCTCAAAATTATATACTTATAGTAGAAGTGACAGATGGAAGCACGTGGCCCTTTGGTCCAAATCTGCCAATAACTGTTAAGTGTAATAGTATAGATATGTATATATCAAGATGATTGAAGTTGTACTTGTGTCAGTATATATAAGGTGTGACAGTATTTTTGATGGTTACCTCCCTTCATATTTGTTTTAAGTTGAGATGCTTTAATTTGGATATGTTTATGTTTCATATGAAATTATCAAAAACATCGCTATTTCATGGAGACAACTGATACAGATGTTGTCATTTAATCCATCTATTTCCCTACCTCCTTGATGAGAGAGGCTGTATAGATAGCGGTGAGTGGGGTCTGCTCGGCTGGTTTTAGGATGACCACGTTTCCACAGGCGATAGCCGGTCCTAACTTCCAGGCAAACATCAGGAGAGGGAAGTTCCACTGAAGGAAAAATTGAATATTTTCTGCAACTTGTTATTGGAAAATATAATGTTTCACTATTGTTATCTTCATTCTATTATAAATCGAGCAGCAAAGGAGCAGAGGATTGTGTAAAAAAAAAAGCAGTAGGCTTTTACATCCGTAGTAAGAGACACGCTTTTCCCGCTCACACTCATTTTTGAAAAAAAAACCCATTAAAACGATGTGATTTGCTCGCTTCCCGCTGATCAAAAACAATTCCAGTTCAGTCCTTTTATTATTTCCTGTTAACTGGTTAAAGTAATAGTTGTAATTCGTCAGTAAACACTTTAATACTGAAATAAAGATGTTCTTAAGAGGACAATTATTCCCTTCGAGGTAAGGACGGTTAATGAAGAAATGGGAAGTTTTTGCCTTGATAGAGATGTCGGATATTTATTGAAAAGATGCCATCTATTATCCTAATAAAGCGATATTCCAATGTCAGTCTGAAAAAGGGGGAAGCTTTCTTTGTACTGTGATAGAAATTGACATTTAATAAATTGTTTGACTTCAATGAACTTTTCATATCCTTGTAAAATAGCTCTTATAAGTATTTAACTGTGACTTACAGGAATGATCTGACCACACACTCCAACAGGTTCGTGTTTGGTGTAGCAGAAATAGTTGCCGTCTACAAAGGAATATAGCTAAATAATACAATTTTATCATATATTATAGATAGATATAACATTTACTACATAGCATCATTGGTTCTCTTATTTGAATACCCCCCCCCCCCAAAAAAAAAAAAATGAAATAAAATTTTAAAAAATACAAAAACAAAAATACCCCCCGCCGCGAAAGAACAGAAAAACCAGAAAAACATAGTTATAACAAGGATTTGTTTTAATCAGTGTTAACCCTACACGGCAGTATCTAAATGTGGACGGTTATTTTGATTTAATCATGCATGGTCCATCGGACTATAAACTATGTAAAGGAGTAGTGAACTACATTACCCATGGGGATGGTTTTGCCACCAATCTTATCAGTCCATCCAGCGTAGTACCGAAGACACTTATATACAAGGACCATGTCAACGTTGTAAGAGTCATTGAAAGGCTTGCCATTATCGAGACTCTCAAGGCTCTGCAATTCCAAAATTTCACATGGAAATAAACAGCAACAAGTATATCAATCAGTCAAGAATTAATTATAATGTAATATAACTTAGTGTAAACAGAGAAATCGAGGAGATTCCGTCCCCAACCCTACCCCAGGTCGGCTGAAATACTCGACCACAAGCTCCGCTCATCAACTTACCGCTAAGTAGAGCCTATCCCGCTCTATAAGATCGGCCAATTTGTTCAGCAGACGGCCACGGTCACTGGCATCCGTGTTACGCCAAACAGATCCAGGTTCGAATGCCTTTTTAGCGGCATTAACAGCCTTGTCAACATCAGTCTGTGTTTATATCAAAGATAAAGAATAAATTCATTATCAATTAAAAAAAGTTATTTACTATAGCAATTAGAGGAGGTAAAGGCTTACACATAATGGTTATTAGGAGATTATCAATTATTTGCTATAGTTACTAGGAGATAAACAGTTATTTGCTATAGTTACTAGGAGATAAACAGTTATTTGCTATATTTACTTAGATATAAACAGTTATTTGCTGTAGTTACTAGGAGATAAACAGTTATTTGCTATATTTACTTAGATATAAACAGTTATTTGCTATATTTACTTAGATATAAACAGTTATTTGCTATAGTTACTAGGAGATATAACAGTTATTTGCTATATTTACTTAGATATAAACAGTTATTTGCTATATTTACTACGAGATAAACAGTTATTTGCTATAGTTACTAGGAGATAAACAATTATTTGCTATAGTTACTAGGAGATAAACAGTTATTTGCTATAGTTACTAGGAGATAATCAATTATTTGCAATTATTTGCTATAGTTACTAGGAGATAAACAGTTATTTGCTGTAGTTACTAGGAGATAAACAGTTATTTGCTATAGTTACTAGGAGATAATCAATTATTTGCTATAGTTACTAGGAGATAAACAGTTATTTGCTATATTTACTTAGATATAAACAGTTATTTGCTATAGTTATTAGGAGATAAACAGTTATTTGATATAGTTACTAGGATATAAACAATTATTTGCTATAGTTACTAGGAGATAAACAATTATTTGCTATAGTTACTAGGAGATCAACAGTTATTTGCTGTAGTTACTAGGAGATAATCAATTATTTGCTATAGTTACTAGGAGATAAACAATTATTTGCTATAGTTACTAGGAGATAAACAATTATTTGCTATAGTTACTAGGATATAAACAGTTATTTGCTATAGTTACTAGGAGATAAACAATTATTTGCTATAGTTACTAGGAGATAAACAGTTATTTGCTGTTAGGAGATAAACAATTATTTGCTATAGTTACTAGAGATAAACAGTTATTTGCTATAGTTACTAGGAGATAAACAGATAAACAGTTATTTGCTATAGTTACTAGGAGATAAACAGTTATTTGCTATAGTTACTAGGAGATAAACAATTATTTGCTATAGTTACTAGGAGATAAACAGTTATTTGCTGTAGTTACTAGGAGATAAACAGTTATTTGCTATAGTTACTAGGAGATAAACAGTTATTTGCTATATTTACTTAGATATAAACAGTTATTTGCTATAGTTACTAGGAGATAATCAATTATTTGCTATAGTTACTAGGAGATAAACAGTTATTTGCTATAGTTACTAGGAGATAATCAATTATTTGCTATAGTTGCTAGGAGATAATCAATTATTTGCTATAGTTACTAGGAGATAAACAGTTATTTGCTATAGTTACTAGGAGATAAAATTATTTGCTATAGTTACTAGGAGATAAACAGTTATTTGCTATAGTTACTTTATAAACAGTTATTTGCTATATTTACTAGATATAAACAGTTATTTGCTATAGTTACTAGGAGATAAACAGTTATTTGCTATAGTTACAGTTATTTGCTATATTTACTTAGATATAAACAGTTATTTGCTGTAGTTACTAGGAGATAAACAGTTATTTGCTATAGTTACTAGGAGATAATCAATGATTTGCTATAGTTACTAGGAGATAATCAATTATTTGCTATAGTTACTAGGAGATAAACAGTTATTTGCTATAGTTACTAGGAGATAATCAATTATTTGCTATAGTTACTAGGAGATAAACAGTTATTTGCTATATTTACTTAGATATAAACAGTTATTTGCTATAGTTATTAGGAGATAAACAGTTATTTGATATAGTTACTAGGATATAAACAATTATTTGCTATAGTTACTAGGAGATAAACAATTATTTGCTATAGTTACTAGGAGATCAACAGTTATTTGCTGTAGTTACTAGGAGATAATCAATTATTTGCTATAGTTACTAGGAGATAAACAATTATTTGCTATAGTTACTAGGAGATAAACAATTATTTGCTATAGTTACTAGGATATAAACAGTTATTTGCTATAGTTACTAGGAGATAAACAATTATTTGCTATAGTTACTAGGAGATCAACAGTTATTTGCTGTAGTTACTAGGAGATAAACAATTATTTGCTATAGTTACTAGGAGATAAACAGTTATTTGCTATAGTTACTAGGAGATAAACAATTATTTGCTATAGTTACTAGGAGATAAACAGTTATTTGCTATAGTTACTAGGAGATAAACAATTATTTGCTATAGTTACTAGATGAACAGTTACTTATTAAAGTTATCTATATCATGGTTAATATAAAGTCAGGTATTGTGATTACTGAGATATATATTTACGAATCATATATACTATAAAGTAAACATTTACGTAATGTGGTTACTAGGAAATGAACTATGACGTATTGTGGTTACTAGGTAATGAACTTTGACGTATTGTGGTTAGTAAGTGATAACTAGTCACGTACTATGGTTAGTAGAAGATTAACAATTTCGTACTATGATTACTAAGAGGTGAAAAGATTTATTCTGCAGGAAATAAACAATTATATAAGTAGGTAACTAAAAGACAAAACATTTCTGTTAAATATGGCAATTCAGGAACAAGATATTATTCATAAAGTCCAATGAATGATGAAATACAGTGTATGAGAAGGAGAATCACATTATTTTATCAAAATTCATTGAGGGTAAAGTATCGTATCTTACTAAGGTAACTACCTGTATGTAAGAGGTAAACAGTGGTTATTTCTGTATGTTATGGAGATCGAGGCCCGTCAGGAGTAAGATATGTTCTCTCTCACACTTATTGTACAGTTTGAGACTTTTCTCTAATCTAAAACATGTATGTGTTTTTATTGATATAGAACATCTTTACTTTGATCGAAAAACCGCTTTCATAAACTTTGTCTCGGACAAAAGGCCTAAATCCACCATTGTACAATATACTATTGTTCTCCTTTTGAAACTTCTATGACGGTGCTATCTCCGTTCTTTCAACGAAGTTAACGTTATACATCCAATATATATTACAGTCATAGGTACATGTAAATATTGTGAAGTGCACAAATCATACTTTTGGCTTTATTAGATCACTTTTGTGAGTGTATTTTAATTTAAATTAAATGAAAGAAATAGTGGCGTATTAAGTGACATTTTATCAAAGGAACAACATATGCGTTCTTCATGTGTCGAAGAGTGTATTTCTCTATTGAAAACTATGTTCTTAAATCATTTGAAATTCACAAATATGTTACTGTTACTAATGTCAGGAAGTAGCTCTATCATCTTCAAAACATTTAAAGTGTTTAATGACTTTTTAAATCTCACTTACAGACAGTACAGAGCTAGCTCAATACGATTACTGGAAATATATTTTTATATATTTTCTTTCTTGGAAATTATGACAATTATTGCCTTCCTAAAAATAAGAAATCTTAAAATACATGTATGTGTTTTCATTAGTGCATTTTGAATTATGACTCAGCTAGTGCATACATGTTTGATATTGTTTTTTTGTATCCAGATTATGACAGCAATCCCAAGTTACCTCTTGTTGATTAATAAGTGTATAGGATATTTACAGGTAACATATAGGATATTTACAGGTAACATATAGGATAGTTACAGGTAACATATAGGACAGTTACAGGTAACATATAGGACAGTTACAGGTAACATATAGGACAGTTACAGGTAACATATAGGACAGTTACAGGTAACATATAGGATATTTACAGGTAACATATAGGACAGTTACAGGTAACATATAGGACAGTTACAGGTAACATATAGGACAGTTACATGTAACATATAGGACAGTTACAGGTAACATATAGGACAGTTACATGTAACATATAGGACAGTAACATATAGGACATGTAACATATAGGACAGTTACAGGTAACATATAGGACAGTTACATGTAACATATAGGACAGTTACAGGTAGCATATAGGACATTTACAGGTAACATATAGGACAGTTACAGGTAACATATAGGACAGTTACAGGTAACATATAGGACAGTTACAGGTAACATATAGGACAGTTACATGTAACATATAGGACAGATACAGGTAACATATAGGACAGTTACAGGTAACATATAGGACAGTTACAGGTAACATATAGGACAGTTACATGTAACATATAGGACAGTTACAGGTAACATATAGGTCAGTTACAGGTAACATATAGGACAGTTACAGGTAACATATAGAACTGTGACAGGTAACATATAGGACAGTCACAGGTAACATATAGGACAGTTACAGGTAACATATAGGACAATTACAGGTAACATATAGGACAGTTACAGGTAACATATAGGACAGTTACAGGTAACATATAGGACAGTTACATGTAACATATAGGACAGTTACAGGTAACATATAGGACAGTTACATGTAACATATAGGACAGTTACAGGTAGCATATAGGACATTTACAGGTAACATATAGGACAGTTACAGGTAACAGGCTATGCTATAGTGAAAAAAGATGAAATTCACCCTGCATTACATTAGTGTTTCAAGGATATATTTCGACACGGAGTTTTGTTGGTATTATTTGTATTTATGCAAAGAGTGTATTGACCTCTTGTTACACACTGTGTGTTTGAGATGGGTAAAGAAAAACCTTGTCCGGAAAAGAAATAAAACCTTGTCCTGTATTGACTTTGACTGACCTTGTCCCCTTCCTGCACGTCAGCTATCTTCTTTCCAGTGGCGGGGTTGATGACAGGAAATGTCTTTCCGCTAGAAGAGTTTACAAACTCATTGTTGATAAACAGCTAAAATAAAAAAAACATACAAGTTACCTGGTACATTGTCTCACTTTTGTTTTAACTACTTCCCTTAGTCGCCTTCTTGTTCTGAACACTGAAGTCCCTGAACCCTAACAACGATACAGCTGCATGTGTAATTAAAGACTATATTGAAAGGTGCTATCTAAATTCACTTGTATTCATCTACAGTATATTTTCATGGGAACAGAGTGTGTCCCGTGGTATGTTTAGTTAAATATGTAGATAACCCCTTCCTCTTTTATATCCCCAAGGTATCTATTGATATACTAGTGTTGGAAATGACTTTTCAATCGTTAATCTTTTTTACACTTAGTTCAACTTGCTAAAGGTAAGGACGTTTTATGTCTCCAACCTGAACTCGTTTTTTCAAGAAATCGATGTCTTTTCACTGAAATTTCACTGTTGGAAGAAATCAATCTTGGCGAATGTACGAAACCCTAAGGTAAAAAACCAGGTCGGGACAAAATTATTAGGATATCAGTATACCTGTAGACAAGTAAGGTATAACGGTCATCTAGAAACAGCATTAATCTGTCAAGACTTTTATACTTAAATGGCTTTATAGGGTTTTTCCCTCAGCTAACATATTGTATTACATTGTATTGTATTACAGCTATATTGTGTTGTATTACATATTGTATTATTACATTGTATTACATTGTATTTGTGTTGTATTACATTATATTGTATTGTATTACATTGTATTACATTGTATATTGTGTTGTATTACATTGTATATTGTATTGTATTACATTGTATTACATTGTATATTGTGTTGTATTACATTGTATATTGTGTTGTATTACATTGTATTACATTGTATATTGTGTTGTATTACATTGTATTACATTGTATATTGTGTTGTATTACATTGTATATTGTATTGTATTACATTGTATTACATTGTATATTGTGTTGTATTACATGTTTATTTAACATGATCAATGATATGACTGTGTTGACTATACGCTAAGCTACAAATGATATTCTACGTGTTGAAGGAGGTAATAACGAATTGAAATTAAGTATTTATGTTAAGTCAGGGAAAATGACTGGAATGTTAATATTGACAGAAAATATATCTCCAACATATTCCTACATAAAGTTAAACAAATAAAACGAAGAAAATGAAGATCACTTTAGCTGTTCAAATACCAGAAACTTTTCTCTTATTGCTTCATGCTCTAAATTTAAAAGTACAAAATTGTGCTGTGTAATATAGTTAGAGTGGTGTACTAGGGTCAAACACGTGACACGAATATCCATACAAGTAATATATAAATTTCACGATACTTGGTAGTATTATTTCAATGATGACTGAAAAGATTATTATACAAAAAAAAATAAAAAATAAAAAAGAAATAAAATAAAATAAAAGGGTTGGGAGTACATTTCAGTTTAGAGTTGAAGTTAGATACAAACGTAAAGTTGAGTCAATGAATCAAATGAAAAGTAAAGCACGGCTTCATATAGCTGTTCCGTCCTTCAAGGACTCATTATTGATGCTGAGCGCCTAAATTCTTATCGTAGTGGTGGAGTGAGAACGAAATTAGTCAAATAGATTCTGAAGTCTAGATAGGGGAATATCATAAGTCATAACACGATCGATAAATTACACCTGTAAAAAAAACCCTCGGATTTCTAAAGAACGTGCATATGTATATTTTGAAAGTTGCCTTTATGAAAGAAAATCGTGGTCTGCAGGTAAAACAGCTGACTAATTTTTGAACAAGTGTGACTTTCATTGTCTTGAAAATTCTCCACAAAAAACTGTTACTTTTTACGTGTTTTTACATGTAATGCAACATTCAAGTTGACCCAACTTTGAATTCAGTGCAAGAACTTACCGACTACATATTTTATTTGCTTTCACCAACAATATACGGATCTTCAGAACTTCTGAGCTGTTTATTATATTCTTAGTCACATCTTCTGAGCTGTTTATTATATTCTTAGTCACAGCTTCTGAGCTGTTTATTATATTCTTAGTCACATCTTCTGAGCTGTTTATTATATTCTTAGTCACAGCTTCTGAGCTGTTTATTATATTCTTAGTCACATCTTCTGAGCTGTTTATTATATTCTTAGTCACAGCTTCTGAGCTGTTTATTATATTCTTAGTCACAGCTTCTGAGCTGTTTATTTTTATCTGAGGGACACTGGTGCGTAAATGACTTGCAAAAATTATGACAAGTCATTGTAAGCAACCCGGATCCTGACATGTCTACGTGCAAGCATGTCTCGAAAATGTCATTCATCTACGACCTGTAGGAGTTAAACTAGAAGAATAGACTGAGAAATTAGTGTTGGTCCCGAAATAGATGTCCTATACTATATGCATTAAAAAGGGGTAATGACGAAGTATCGCAAATTTCTGTTTGACTATGTTTTTTTGACAGCTAATTACCTATTTTATTTCATTTTCTTTCGGCTTGAATTAAATACCATGGCAATCATTACCTTGTGTTTTATCACTTTCACTATTTCCTGTGGTAAAACACCGTTTTAAGTATCCCAACAAACAGCATAAATTTAAGACAACATTTTACATTTCTTCAGTATATATACAAAATATAAATAAAAATGTAAGATATTATGTAAGCTTCACAATTAACTTCTACAGAAATTATAATTATCGATATATGTTGCGAAGTCGGATGACATAATCTCTTAGAAATAGTTCATGCGTATATAGATAAGTACATATGAACAACATAGACCAATACATGTAATAAGAATGATAGGTAATGAGAAAGGATACATACATGTTTATATCTGATCTCTGGGTTTTTGATAGGTGTAACCATCGTGGTGATCAGGTGGTCTAGGTCGGCTGCGAAATCCCGGAGTGTCTGTCCAACTGGTTTTTACAGATCTACATGAAAATATAAAGCAGAAAAGGGACTTAACTACGTACACTGCACATAATTCATCCATACACAACCCGGTGTCATTCTAACATATATAGACCATGATTTACCTGGAGATAAGATGTTGTTTTACAGTAACTGGAGATATGGTGGAATTCGTAAATTAAACAATAATATAATGGTGATAGCGTAGTTTTGTCTGCTTGGCTGCTTTTGGACAATGCCATGTTTTACTAGTCATCGTCAAGGCATCCGTTTTCTCCTGTAAGTGCGCGATCATGCTTGTTCTACACTTGCAAGAATGAAAATGCGACCCATTTATAACGTAAACACGCTAACTAGATAACCGTTTTTTTCTCTTCTTATTTGACTATATACACTGTCGTCCCTTCCAGTTCCTATACTTGATGATTTTTAGTCAACGTTATTGCTCTAAATAGGTTTTTTCTCTGACTCTCAGCCCGGTATATGTCATGGAGGAACTTGATTTCTGACCCTCCACCTCGGTGTTAGTCCTGGAAGAACTTGATTTCTGACCCTCCATCTCAGTGTTAGTCCTGGAGGAACTTGATTTCTGACCCTCCATCTCGATGTTAGTCCTGGAAGAACTTGATTTCTGACCCTCCATCTCAGTGTTTGTCCTGGAAGAACTTGATTTCTGACCGTCCATCTCAGTGTTAGTCCTGGAGGAACTTGATTTCTGACCCTCCACCTCGGTGTTAGTCCATGAGGAACTTGATTTCTGACCCTCCACCTCAGTGTTAGTCCTGGAAGAACTTGATTTCTGACCCTCCACCTCGGTGTTAGTCCTGGAGGAACTTGATTTCTGACCCTCCACCTCGGTGTTAGTCCTGGGGGAACTTGATTTCTGACCCTCCACCTCGGTGTTAGTCCTGGAGGAACTTGATTTCTGACCCTCCAACTTGATTTCTGACCCTCCACATCGGTGTTAGTCCATGAGGAACTTGATTTCTGACCCTCCACCTCAGTGTTAGTCCTGGAGGAACTTGATTTCTGACCCTCCATCTCGGTGTTAGTCCTGGAGGAACTTGATTTCTGACCCTCCATCTCGATGTTAGTCCTGGAGTAACTTGATTTCTGACCCTCCACCTCGGTGTTAGTCCTGAAGGAACTTGATTTCTGACCCTCCACCTCAGTGTTAGTCCTGGAACTTGATTTCTGACCCTCCACCTCGGTGTTAGTCCTGGAGTAACTTGATTTCTGACCCTCCATCTCAGTGTTTGTCCTGGAGTAACTTGATTTCTGACCGTCCACTACAGTGTTAGTCCTGGGGGAACTTGATTTCTGACCCTCCACCTCGATGTTTGTCCTGGAGTAACTTGATTTCTGACCCTCCATCTCGATGTTTGTCCTGGAGGAACTTGATTTCTGACCCTCCATCTCGATGTTTGTCCTGGAGGAACTTGATTTCTGACCCTCCACCTCAGTGTTAGTCCTGGAGTAATTTGATTTCTGACCCTCCATCTCGGTGTTAGTCCTGGAGGAACTTGATTTCTGACCCTCCACCTCGGTGTTAGTCCTGGAGTAACTTGATTTCTGACCCTCCATCTCAGTGTTAGTCCTGGAAGAACTTGATTTCTGACCCTTCCCCTCGATGTTTGTCCTGGAGTAACTTGATTTCTGACCCTCCACCTCGGTGTTAGTCCTGGAGGAACTTGATTTCTGACCCTCCACCTCGGTGTTAGTCCTGGAAGAACTTAGTGCTGGAGTAACTTGATTTCTGACCCTCCATCTCGGTGTTAGTCCTGGAGTAACTTGATTTCTGACCCTCCACTACAGTGTTAGTCCTGGAAGAACTTGATTTCTGACCCTCCATCTCAGTGTTTGTCCTGGAAGAACTTGATTTCTGACCCTCCACCTCGGTGTTAGTCCTGGAAGAACTTGATTTCTGACCCTCCACCTCAGTGTTAGTCCTGGAAGAACTTAGACCCTCCACCTCGGTGTTAGTCCTGGAGTAACTTGATTTCTGACCCTCCACCTCGGTGTTAGTCCTGGAAGAACTTGATTTCTGACCCTCCACTACAGTGTTAGTCCTGGAGGAACTTGATTTCTGACCCTCCATCTCGGTGTTAGTCCTGGAGGAACTTGATTTCTGACCCTCCACCACAGTGTTAGTCCATGAGGAACTTGATTTCTGACCCTCCACCTCAGTGTTAGTCCTGGAGGAACTTGATTTCTGACCCTCCACCTCAGTGTTAGTCCTGGAGTAACTTGATTTCTGACCCTCCACCTCGGTGTTAGTCCTGGAGGAACTTGATTTCTGACCCTCCATCTCAATGTTTGTCCTGGAGGAACTTGATTTCTGACCCTCCACCTCAGTGTTAGTCCTGGAGGAACTTGATTTCTGACCCTCCACCACAGTGTTAGTCCTGGAAGAACTTGATTTCTGACCCTCCATCACAGTGTTAGTCCATGAGGAACTTGATTTCTGACCCTCCACCTCGGTGTTAGTCCTGGAAGAACTTGATTTCTGACCCTCCATCACAGTGTTAGTCCTGGAGCTGACCCTCCACCTCAGTGTTAGTCCTGGAGGAACTTGATTTCTGACCCTCCACCTCACCTGGAAGAACTTGAGTCCTGGAAGAACCTGACCCTCCACCTCGGTGTTAGTCCTGGAGTAACTTGATTTCTGACCCTCCATCTCGATGTTAGTCCTGGAAGAACTTGATTTCTGACCCTCCACCACAGTGTTAGTCCTGGAGGAACTTGATTTCTGACCCTCCACCACAGTGTTAGTCCTGGAGGAACTTGATTTCTGACCCTCCACCTCAGTGTTTATTCTGGAGGATTTCTTTCTGCATTACTGCTCCAGGAATCTACTACTTGTCATCTTATCTTAATGTTTTTAAAATATCAATACTTATCAGTTATCATTCGGATCTGGTATATAAATGTGTTGATAACACCAAAGCATTTAACATATTATTTTACTTAAAAAACTGTTTCGGAAACAGAAATCCTTTAAGTGCCAAAAAACTTATAAAGAGACACATTCAAACACAGGTACATAGAACTAGCTATCGTAGGAACAGACATGTTTATATAAATTTACTGTAAATGTGTATGAGAGGCAAACATCGGCATAGAGAACTGCCTGTCAAAGAAACAATTTAGGAGTTGTTAAATAAATATGTGTATGGAAGATAAACACCAGAATATAGAACTAGTTGTCATAGAAACCTTTTAGGAATGGTTATATAAATGTGTGTATGAGTGATAGACACCAGAATGTAGAACTAGTTGTCATAGAAACCATTTAGGAATGGTTATATAAATGTGTGTATGAGTGATAGACACCAGAATGTAGAACCAGTTGTCAAACACCATGAATATCCATACGAAAGCACAACACGCAAGGTTTTCATTTATTATTTTCATTTTTACTACAAAATATTAATGTGTGTTTATTTTTATCTCAATATAGTCAATATCATTAAAACTAATGAAAATAAGATATTTTTTTTACATTTTATTTGTTCTCAACCTTTCCCAAGTAATAACTTACTAGTATCACCGTCCAGACTGAATCACGATCTGATAGCGTGTCAACATATATTAGAACATATAAAAAAATGTATCACATTTTAACACAATAGTCTTCTATGGAATTATCATATGGGTGCTTGATTATCTACCATAATTGTCTGTCTTATAAGTGTTTCCACAGCCATTCTCGCATCTTCCGTACTAACCAGTGTAAAAAAGCCCAGATGATCATTTATTATTATATGTATAGCCAGGAGATTTATACCAATATCGTTTTTTGTACATGAAGTCTACATTATGTAGTTATTGAGAGTGTTAATTGAATCCTGAACAGCTTTACTTTAATCCTGTTTTACCTAAGTGTACACATTAAGTGACCGTGACCTAGTTTTTTGTGTCGCCATATCATCTACCACAAGCTGTTTTTAGGCTAAACGTACTCAGTATGCATAGCCTATTGCTACGGTCTTTCAGACAAAATTTACCGATCCTGGCCTTCTCATTGGCTGAAATATCGAAAAGAGTTAGAGCCCTCTAGCAGCAATTTTCTGCGTAAATCATGCCGCGTTCTTTCAAATCGCTATTTTAAAAGCATCCAAAATTAGTTTATTTTTTTAATAACAAAACGATTACTATATATTTAAGTGTGGTTGAACTATTGATAAATTCTGAACAATATATTTTACGGAATTCTCGACATGACGTAAGCGTACAGCGTACGTAAGCGTACGTGCGAGTTGATAAGAAGCTAGTCTGGGGGCTTGGTTTGAATTATCAACTAACAGCACTTATAAACAAACAAAACTTACAAACAGAACACCAATTTTGTTTTAATCCTTGTCGTTGTGGCAAGATCGTCTTCAGATATAACATCACTTTACCTCATTAGACGTCACCGAATTGGACTGTTCGTCCCACGCGCACACTCGCCGATATGACACTTTTTCAGGTTTTTCACACCCACCGCCATGACACTTTTTCAAGTTTTTGAAGATAAAAAGTTTGCTCTTCGTAGGCAAGATTCATTTGGTGCTCATGATTTATGAATAATTTATTTTTGATACTGTACTGATCATGATGTTGACTGTGTTATGACTTGTATTTTTTGTCTTTTACTTTTATTTGATGAAGGTTGATTGTGCTGATTTCTCAAGGTTTGGTTCCTTGAATTGAAAATATTCCTTCAAACAAAGCGCGTATAAAAAAAACCCAAAATATTCAGTTTCATAATTATCAATTAACTAGAACGAAATATTTCCATAACATATTTATTCATTTAGCGTGTCATGGTGACATTATCTAATGCATTGGAGATCTTTGAATGCCATCGTTATAATGTTCACAGAAATGTCCTTTTCTAACGCTTAAATGATATGAATTTACAAGTTCACTAGATCTGCTCCTTAATGGAAATGATCAACTTTCCCCTGAAACAAACTCTGAAATTTTTTACGAGTCCAACATTTTGTAAAAAGTAGCAACATGTTTTAAACCATAAAACTGTTATAATTTTACTTCCGATGACGTCAACCCTTCTACCCCCTACCCCCACCCCCACCCCACCTCTTTCTCTCTCTCTCTCTCTTTCCCTTCTCTTTAAAAAAATATATTTAGCCAATATTTATGTAAATTATTGATGACTTGATATTGTGATGTTTTTGTTTTGTAATGTATTGAGGAAAGGGCAACTATAAGTTGAAATAACTTGTGCCCGATCCTTTTGTAATTAATTTACAATAAAATATGATCAGAAATAGTAGTAGCTATAGTGAAAATATTGTAAATTTTGTATATATATGGAAGTCTGGTTTAATCTCAAAGAACTATATCTTTATAGACATAATTACTGGAAGAAAAGTCTAACCATGATACTTCAAGGAAGATAGACATGTAAATACATTTAATGTAATTACTTACACTTTAATCTACCTGAAATGCTGTGTACACCTTATCTACTTTCCTCAACTACAAATATAATTATAATAAGTAAGGACTATTACTTTGCAATACATTCAAAATAAAGAAGTAGGTATAAAGTCCTTTCGATTTGTCTAAATCCTCATATTGATGGGATAGTAATTGCAACATCTTGGGTATTTCAAAGCTTTTATTTAGTCAACTTCATCATAGAGCTATTTATCATTTGGCTTGTTGGCGATAAATATATGGTTGTGTGTATTTTGTTATTTTTTTTACATATCTTGATTTATTCACATTATTGTCGTCAAATTTGAAATAAGAATTAAAGAAGATATAAAATCGCTTAAAATTAAGAAAAATAGCCTCTGGTTCTCTTATTTAGTAATTTTTGCATTTCAAAGTGTAGGAGTATGGGGAAAGTAATACAGCTTTGCGGTTATTTGTGAACATTTTTCAATACGTTTAGCCTCTCAGTACTTTCAGTACTTTGATTTCTGTGTTGTCATCATATTTGAAATTTCATCAATTATTTTCCACGCCGATCTCAGACCTTCTCAGATCAGCATTGTTGCAGACGGATACAATAAAGTGACATTGGTAAAAGACACTTGTAGAATGTATTCTTGAGTACCAATTTTCACGTGCTTGAGGGAAAGACAATTTTGATGTTCCTCGTTATGTGGCTAATATTTGGCAATCGGATACGCATTTTTTTGTGAAAATTTGTCATTCTCTGTAACAGTATAGGGTTAAATGCAAAATGATTCGTCACCATTTTCCTTTTTCCCGATATTTAGAGGCCCAGGTGACAAAACACCTGTATGCAGAGTACAACTGTATAAATAGGGCATTGGTAATTATAAGCACGAGTAAAACCATACAGTTTCTAGCTATCGACAAGCACTGGTGATAGCAGCAGTAAATAAAAGGGGCTAAACACTAAAAAACCTCTCGAATAATGTTAAACTTTGATAAGTACAGAGGGGACTCTGTTCATGAAATGCACGTGACGAGGGGAAAAAAGTTTCTATTCCTAAGGGGTTTACACACAGGAACCACTTGAGTTACAAAGCAACAACTGATATCATGGTTTGTGTGAATCATGTGCCATTTCATTGTCTTTGATGTATGTACATGTTTGTGACACCGACATATGCACTACAGAAGATTAGCAATCCACCTGCACGTACATCCCCTCTAGGAGAAATCGGCACTTACTGAAATGTCTTGATTTTTTAAAATGACTTTTTCCTATTACAAAAGAAACTATTTCCTGTTTGAAAGAGATCGATTACTTTGTGAAGTCCTGTAAAAAGATCTAACTGGGAAGTGTATTTGTAGTCGTCCGTCTTTACGTCCGTACATAATTTTATCTGTGATAGTCTACAATAATGACTATCCATGCCAATATCCGACAATCACCAGTGTTGTGTATACCCAGTGAGGAAACATTAAATAAACTACGATAATTTGAAACTTGGTCATCGCCCATTATCGGTATTGTTTATCAATATACAGCAGTAATTCTGTCGTGAAACGCACTCAATTTTGAAACCATGTGACAACATCGTTTTGGTATTTTGAAATGATTCCTTATTGTTTTGATGAACATCAGATTTCAGAGTCCGTATAAAACCGACGTTACATGGTGTGTGTTCATAACGTTTATGCAGGTAAAATTTAAAATACTGGTACACAGAACGTGAATTAACATCGACAATCTAAACAAAGTTTTTCTCAACACATTAAATAAGGAAGTAAATAGGAAAAATTCCAACAACATTCTACTGAAATATTTCACAAGAAGCATAACTTTAAAATATCTAACTTACCTTTACCTGTGTAGTCTTCTGACACCGACTTTTTTTCTAATTTCGAACGTTTCAGCTGGTGCTTTTATAGAGGGCACTTAGACAAGCTGATTAATTCTGAAGTAGGCAAGTCCGCTGTGAGCAGTCAGCGGTTACGTCATCAACTGCCTCATTTACATAAAAGGTACTAGTAGATACCTAAGAATCTTAAATATCTGAGAAAGACATTTATTTCATGGGGATAATTTAAACTTCATAAATATGATGTATTACATTGATTAATATATATCTATTTGAACAAAATCAAGGTCAGTGAATATATTGAAACCTTCAGTAACGTTTTCTGAAATATATTTAACTATCTACAATAAACGAATCTTTCTATATTATATCTATCATATCTGTGTATGACTGCCTGCATAAAGTGTTAGTACATATAGAGTTTAAGACGTCGATATCTGTTGTTTACTCACTTCCTGTTTAACGATGAACCTTCTCATCATTTGTCATTGCTACTAATTATTATTTCCTTGTCACTAAAACAATTCCCTAGAAATCTACTCTTCATTCCTAAGGGTACGTTTGGTATCCATTTATTATCTACACAATATATAATAACACCCACTTTTAAACAAAGATTACTTCCCTCTGCAATCTCTCTAAAAGATCATCACCTATTCTCTATTAAGGAAGTAGGAACCAGGAAGTTTATCACTCATAAATTACAATTTGCAACGTAGCATGACAAACACAACGGATAACCTTACATAGCAGAAACAAGGAGCAAACTTACATAGTAGAAACAAGGAGCAACCTTACATAGCAGAAACAAGGAGCAACCTTACATAGCAGAAACAATGAGCAACCTTACATAGCAGAAACAATGAGCAACCTTACATAGTAGAAACAATGAGCAAACTTACATAGTAGAAACAATGAGCAAACTTACATAGCAGAAACAATGAGCAAACTTACATAGCAGAAACAATGAGCAAACTTACATAGTAGAAACAATGAGCAAACTTACATAGTAGAAACAATGAGCAAACTTACATAGTAGAAACTTACATAGTAGAAACAATGAGCAAACTTACATAGCAGAAACAATGAGCAAACTTACATAGTAGAAACAATGAGCAAACTTACATAGTAGAAACAATGAGCAAACTTACATAGTAGAAACAATGAGCAAACTTACATAGTAGAAACAATGAGCAAACTTACATAGTAGAAACAATGAGCAAACTTACATAGCAGAAACAATGAGCAAACTTACATAGCAGAAACAATGAGCAAACTTACATAGTAGAAACAATGAGCAAACTTACATAGTAGAAACAATGAGCAAACTTACATAGCAGAAACAAGGAGCAAACTTACATAGTAGAAACAATGAGCAAACTTACATAGCAGAAACAATGAGCAAACTTACATAGTAGAAACAATGAGCAAACTTACATAGTAGAAACAATGAGCAACCTTACATAGTAGAAACAATGAGCAACCTTACATAGCAGAAACTAGGAGCAACCTTACATAGCAGAAACAATGAGCTACCTTACATAGCAGAAACAATGAGCAAACTTACATAGCAGAAACAATGAGCAACCTTACATAGCAGAAACAATGAGCAAACTTACATAGCAGAAACAATGAGCAAACTTACATAGCAGAAACAATGAGCAACCTTACATAGCAGAAACAATGAGCAACCTTACATAGCAGAAACAATGAGTAACCTTACATAGCAGAAACAATGAGTAACCTTACATAGCAGAAACAATGAGCAACCTTACATAGCAGAAACAATGAGTAACCTTACATAGCAGAAACAATGAGCAACCTTACATAGCAGAAACAATGAGCAAACTTACATAGTAGAAACAATGAGCAAACTTACATAGCAGAAACAATGAGCAACCTTACATAGCAGAAACTAGGAGCAACCTCACATAGCAGAAACAATGAGCAAACTTACATAGTAGAAACAAGGAGCAAACTTACATAGCAGAAACAATGAGCAAACTTACATAGCAGAAACAATGAGCAAACTTACATAGCAGAAACAATGAGCAACCTTACATAGCAGAAACAATGAGCAAACTTACATAGCAGAGCAACAATAGAGAAACTTACATAGCAGAAACAATTACATAGAGCAAACTTACATAGCAGAAACAATAGCAGCAACCTTACATAGCAATGAGCAAACTTACATAGCAGAGCAACAATAGAGAAACAATGAGCAACCTTACATAGCAGAGCAACCTTACATAGCAGAAACAATGAGCAACTTACATAGCAGAAACAATAGAGAAACAACCTTACATAGAGAAACAGCAACCTTACATAGCAGAAACAATAGAGAAACAACCTTACATAGCAAAAACTTACATAGCAGAAACAATGAGCAACCTTACATAGCAGAAACAATGAGCAACCTTACATAGCAGAAACAATGAGCAAACTTACATAGTAGAAACAATGAGCAACCTTACATAGCAGAAACTAGGAGCAACCTTACATAGCAGAAACTAGGAGCAACCTTACATAGCAGAAACTAGGAGCAACCTTACATAGCAGAAACTAGAACAACCTTACATAGCAGAAACAATGAGCAACCTTACATAGCAGAAACTTAATAGCAGAAACAAAGCAACTTACATAGCAGAAACTTACAACCTTACATAGCAGAAACAATGATTACATAGCAGAAACAAAACCTTACATAGCAGAAACAATGAAACAACCTTACATAGCAGAGCAACTTACATAGCAGCAAACTTACATAGCAGAAACAATAGAGCAACCTTACATAGCAGAAACAATGAGCAACCTTACATAGCAGAAACAATGCAACCTTACATAGCAGAAACTTACACATAGCAGAAACAATAGAGCAAACTTACATAGCAGAAACAATGAGCAACCTTACATAGCAGAAACAATTACATAGAGCAAACTTACATAGCAGAAACAATGAGCAACATAGTAGAAACAATTTACATAGCAGAAACAAGAGCAACAAACCTTACATAGCAGAAACAATGAGCAACCTTACATAGCAGAAACAATGAGTAACCTTACATAGCAGAAACAATGAGCAACCTTACATAGCAGAAACTAGGAGCAAACTTACATAGCAGAAACAATGAGCAACCTTACATAGCAGAAACAATGAGCAACCTTACATAGCAGAAACAATGAGCAACCTTACATAGCAGAAACTAGAACAACCTTACATAGCAGAAACAATGAGCAAACTTACATAGCAGAAACAATGAGCAAACTTACATAGTAGAAACAATGAGCAAACTTACATAGTAGAAACAATGAGCAACCTTACATAGCAGAAACAATGAGCAACCTTACATAGTAGAAACAATGAGCAAACTTACATAGCAGAAACTAGAACAACCTTACATAGCAGAAACTAGAACAACCTTACATAGCAGAAACTAGGAGCAACCTTACATAGCAGAAACTAGGAGCAACCTTACATAGCAGAAACTAGAACAACCTTACATAGCAGAAACTAGAGCTACCTTACATAGTAGAAACTAGAGCAACCTTACATAGCAGAAACTAGGAGCAATCTTACATAGCAGAAACTAGGAGCAACCTTACATAGCAGAAACTAGAGCAACCTTACATAGCAGAAACTAGAGCTACCTTACAGTATAGAAACTAGGAGCAACCTTACATAGCATAAACTAGAACAACCTTGCATAGCAGAAACTAGGAGCAACCTTACATAGCAGAAACTAGGAGCAACCTTACATAGCAGAAACTTACATAGTAGAAACAAGGAGCAAACTTACATAGCAGAAACAAGGAGCAAAAACTCACATAGCAGAAACTAGGAGCAACCTTACATAGCAGAAACTAGAGCAACCTTACATAGCAGAAACTAGAGCAACCTTACATAGCAGAAACTAGGAGCAACCTTACATAGCAGAAACTAGGAGCAACCTTACATAGTAGAAACAATGAGCAACCTTACATAGTAGAAACAATGAGTAACCTTACATAGCAGAAACTAGAACAACCTTACATAGCAGAAACTAGAGCTAGGAGCCTTACATAGCAGAAACTAGGAGCAACCTTACATAGCAGAAACTATGAACAAGCAACCTTACAGAATAGAAACTAGAGCAACCTTACAGAATAGAAACTAGAACAACCTTACATAGCAGAAACTAGAGCAACCTTACAGAATAGAAACTAGAGCAACCTTACATAGCAGAAACTAGAGCTACCTTACATAGTAGAAACTAGAGCAACCTTACAGAATAGAAACTAGAGCAACCTTACATAGCAGAAACTAGAGCTACCTTACATAGTAGAAACTAGAGCAACCTTACAAAGCAGAAAATGGGAACACTCATATCAAGTAGAAACTAGGTGCAGTGGAAACCAGGGTCAACCCCTGACATTGCAGAAACTAGGGACAAGCTACAAAGCAGAAAGTAGGAGCAACTTGACATTACAGAAATAAGGAACATCCGTATATGGCAGAAACTAATTATGATAACAAGTAACTAATAAAGGTTATTACACATAATCAGTTTCTATTGTATTTCCGATGTAGTTTCCAGTATCATGGCAACTTTACTGAAAAAATGGGTCCGATGCCAAATAGAGGAAATGAACACACAATAACATCGATGATTCAGACAAAGCCAAAATTAAGTCAATGCCAACCCTTAACAAATATAACAATGTAGGCTCGCCAATACACACTGATAGGGGAGATATCTTCATGACCTACTTTTGACACATGATATAGGTGATTTAAGCCCTTAGCATCACTGACGATACCTGTATAACCTATCTAACACTGTATCTGTATTAAAAGGTGTTATTGTCTTCTGTACAATCTTTAACGCTAGATAATCAACGCATATTCCACAAAACAACACTCCAAATATATGTATACGGTTTTTGTCGCAGTCCATTGATGATTTGATTTGATTTAACATATCTCGGCCCATATATGAAACAACAAGGTTGGCACATTATTGGAAAAAGTTACAAATACTCTCAAACGTTCTCTGTCATTGTGACTTGTGTACTTTATTTGTATAAGA